AGACTCAACTCAACCTTTCAAAGCCTGCAGTTGAGATCTTTCACCTCTTTTGGACCATATCACAGTGAATGCCTGCCTGTACATTATATCCCTGTATACATTTATAAGCAGATATAATGGTCATAAACTTCAGTGAGACTGGAGCAGCAACAAGCAGATTGGTGACTTGGGAATGTTGATTTTTGTCTTCTCACATCATAACACACCATGTTCTGTAGGTCCACAACCTGAGCTTAAGGCAGTATCACCTGTTTCTATGGGAGAGAGCTCAAGTTTCAGTCCCTGACATTTCCCATGGAAGTCTGAAAATTGCCTTCAAAAATCAGCAGATGTACAGGAACTGAGTACCTACTGCCTCCTATCCACCCATCAGGGCCAAATCCCTACATCTCCATCAGCAAAACAAGAAAGAAAAATTCCAGCTTTCTAGCTGTGAATATACTGCTTGCTTCTTTCCTCCCTCACACCTGGCCCCTGCAAGGGCTCAGAGCATCTTTATTTACTATGAGCAAGACAGAGATGTCTTGAGGAATTTATGCTGATAGACCACAGCTGCCCTTCCCTCACGTGAGAAGACCCTCAAACCCAGAACTCCAACCCTCTCTTCTTCCTTGAAAACCCTCCCTGCCTACTCCTGTATCTACCTTAGGTAGATATCAAGGTCAGGAATATCTGTGGGTAGGCTGCAATTGTCTTGCTGCATTAAGCTACTTGGGCAACATGGCCATGCAACAACAGCATTGCTGGAACCATGTCCCTCCATGATGTGCTCTGGGGAGGACGTGCCCTCCATGTTCCACAGAGGATACTGTTAAAACAAGGTACTGAAGTGAGATCTCCTTGTCCTATCTGAAATATCTGCTTGTCCACAAACACCTCCACACTCAGACACAGTGTGACAACAGATGCAAATGCATTCTGCTAGTATGCTGTGCCATTAGCCATTACAGAAGTGGGAGTTTTACACCAGCAACATGAAAACCTCTTTCCCATGAAAGACTAAAGCAATTAAAAGGGCATGCGTACTTAAAACAATGGCCCAATATGTTTTTGTGCAGTTCATCTGTCTTCTGCAAGAGAATTCCAGTGCATGGCACCAAATCATTGTAAAATTATTATTCTCCTCCAGGATGGATGACATTTAGAGGACTACTGGGCTGTAAAACTCTCATTCTTTGATGACTGACTCATGTTCTAAATGCAGACATTAAGATCATTTGCACTTGTTGGTGGAGTATGGTACCAAATAATAAATGAGAACATTAAATGTTTCTGCTCCTTTCATTTGGAGTTCATGAGTACCTAAGGACATGAGCCCTCTTCTCATTAAGTCTGGCAGATTTCAGCAGGATATCTGGCTGCTGGAGGAGGGTGGATTTTAAATTTTGTATTAATTAACTGCACACTTTTTGATTTCTAAGTGAAAGAATTTGATGAAGACCCTGTCCCAAAGCCCACACGTGTGAGGACACTTCTACTAACCTCGGTCACTTCTGGATTAAATCCTGAGTAACAAATTCCCTTAATCATAGGCCAGTTGATATGAGAAAATATTATCAAGGGAAAAAATAGGCATGCACTGAAATTTGTAAAGAGTTTTTAAATATACATATACATATATACTATACAAAAGTTCTCAAAAACTCACATGACTGAGGGGAGGGGAATTCATTTGTTGAGTGTATCTGAATTGAAGAACAAGAAAAAAACACAATCGTACAATCCTAGTATTTAAGATGTTTTTGATTACAGAAAATATTTCCTGAAGAAAGGAATCAACTCTGTAATTCCAAGCAATGGAAAATACAGCATGGCATATTCTAGCACCAAAATGGAGCCCTTGAGACTATAATTATCCACAAGTAATAAAGCTGGTTTTAATGGTGTTCAGTTGCAGCACGTTCTTCTCTTTTGGCACTTGAATTTTGAAATAGGAGGAACAGTATGAGCTGCATTATTCTTCCAGACACTGTGCAGCAGAAAAACAAAAATCATTTGAAATACCTTGACGGTACTCAGCTTCTAAAAAGCACTGCAGTTACACTGCGGCTCCATCAAAATCAATTCTGTGCCCCAACATGATCAGGACACGGGCAATCAGTGATTGATTATGGCAACTCAATGGTGTCTGGTTGGCCTCTGGAGAGCTGAGATGGTGTTTGCTTCAGTCCAAATCTGTAGACTGCGAAAGCTTGCAAGTTAAAGCCAAGGAATGGCAACATTCCAGTTTAAGGCAGATCAGCTATTTAGCCAAGGTGAAATCTTAATGGGCATTATGAATCTTTTACTGAGAAACTTGTACATCTTATCAGACATTTGAATACCTCTGTAAATGTGGATCAGGCTATTTCCCCTAGGACATGAATCTGCTAGATGCTTCACCGAGGATAGAGTGTGTAAGCACTTGTCCAGATTTTAGAAGTCAACACTGCATTTCTACGTTTTCTGCACCCTGCAAAACCAAACTCGTAAGATCTATTGCATATGGCTAAAATGGTGGAAGCTGGAGACCTTGAAACCCTTCTCAGAGCTGCAGTCATCCTAGCACCGAGGAAAGAACAGGGGGTGTGGATGGAGCTGTGTTTTCAATCTGGAAAGGGAAGAAGAGCTCTGAAATCAAAGAGATCATCTTCATTTGAGGTGGGAGAGGAGCATCCATGTCAGCAGGAAGCAAGCAGGTCTACCAGCTGGGAGTCATAAGACATTCCTGTAAGTTACTGATTTAATCCAACCTCGGAGACCAGCGTAGGACTGAAGACTGGTTGGATTCTGTCCAAGGTAAATGCTGATGGAAAGGGACCAGGTACCCTTATAAACCTGATCCAGCTCAAAAGAAGCCAAATGGAGATGGGCAGGTACTACACCCACCCTCCTACTCATTGTGTTCCAGAGCACAAAGCTCTGGAAATGTCCATCCTTAGTCCTATGCCTGAATAGAGATTAACAACAGGTGCCTGCTCACCTTTCCTGTAGAAGAAAGGTGGTCAGTGTGAACGTGCTGAAATTCAGCATTCAACAGCCCAAAGCAACTGCAGGGTTGCTCCTCAGCCCTTGGTAATGGCCTTAGATAACCATGAATTCATCACTTTAACTTGAGCCACGTGTATCCAATTCAGAATGAGATGTGCCTTCATCAGTGTCACCAGGATATCTATTAAGTTGCACCAGCTCTGAATGAGACCCAGAATCTATGAAGGACCAAAAACACCTCCAGTGCTAAAAAAAAAAAATAAATCTAAGTCACCACATTACAAGACTATTTCAGTTAAAAATGTCACTTGGAAATCAAACAGGGTCACATGGAAATTGGTCTGAACAAAATGAAATAAAAGAAGGAGGAGTCATAAATACAGCAGTCTCTATGTCATAGGTCTTCAATGATCTACTGCCTTCATATAAATGCTAACACTGCAGTGCTTAGTACCAGATAGTTTACTTGCTTACAATATTGAAGAGCATCTAGAATTAGCTACAGGAGATTTAAAATCACCTGACTGGATACAGAAAGGCTTGATGCAGAGATGGTAAGTCAGTCAAAGAGTGTGGATTCCCCAGGTCTTCCTGATGACTGTCTTGCAAAAGTGCTTCTACATAGCAAAGGTGTCATTTTACCCAGGAAGATTGCTCTTTTGAAATAAATTACTGCAAACCCTGGCTAATTTTCAGGAATTGAAATGAAGTGCAGGAAAGAGGACACAGTTCTCTCTGCTCTCTGCCCAAGCTTCAAGTGATAATCTGAGTATAGTGTTCAATTAAAGCGTGAGAAGCCCACTTCCACTTGTTTAAGAAACTAAGAGGGCTCCAGCTTCTCTGGGAGGCAATCAATTCAAAGACAACAGAAGCCCAATTCTCTTTTTCTTTCCATTCTGCATACTTAAAAAAAAAAACAACACAATAAAGCATCTACCACCCATTCAATTCAAGGTAATTTTAGGCTTGAGATTTCAAGCTATCATCTTCTCCAAAAGGACAGACAGATAAATGAGAGGACACTGAAGAATATTAGACTGAAAGACAAATGGTGAGAAGCAAAAATCCTGAGGAAATAAAAGAGCTGGTGTGAGCTAAAATTAAACTTTTTTTGTTGTCTTTGCTTAACAGGTGAGTTTAAAATACAATTTAACTTCCCTGAAAAATGAGTAAAGACTCCCACATGCTGGGCTCAATGCTCTACCCATCCCCCCAGCCTGGCCAACACTAGGACAGGCTGCTCCCTGGTCCAGCCTCTGCAATAATTAGCTGCCATTGGAAAATGTACAGTTAGTAAATTGATGGAAAAAGCCTGATTTTTTTTTTTCAATGTATCCCCGCAAGAATTAAATGTCTTCAACAAGTCCCTGTAACCACAAAGTCCAAGAACGTTACAGCAACAAAGGATGCTCAGAAGGTGGACACAGTAAGTAAAGGACTGGTGCTAGGATGTTGTTTTGTGAACAGTCATTCTCTTTCTTTGAAACATCCTTGTATGCTGTTTCTTCTGACAGTGGACTTTTGGGGGCTATCCTCTGCTGGCAGATGTGTGACTGGGCTGAAGCAGTGTGGAGCTGGGAGAAGCATTCAGGTTGGATATTAGGAAAAATTTCTTCTTCAAATGACTGGTTGGGCTCTGGAACAGGTTGCCCAGGTAGGTGGTGGAGTCACCATCATGGAGGTGTTCAAGAAATGGATAGATGCGGTACTTAGGGACATGGTTTAGTGGGCAATATTGGTGGTAGCTGGATGGTTGGACTAGATGACCTTGGAGGTCTTTTCCAACCTTAACGATTCTATGATTCTACTTTCTTCTTGCTGGGTGGAATCCTTTTCTCTTCAGAGATGAAAAGTGGTGGTGATGTTTTTAGGGCATATTTAGAGGAATCCAAAGTAGTCATCAAACTAGCTGCACGGGCAGAGTTCACTGCTACTGTTGGAAGGAAATCCAGTCTGAAGCCAAGTTTTTGAATGTCTGCAATACTATGGAGCCCTATTCCTAGATTTCTTAGAAACAAAAGGAAGCACAGTGATGATTACGTGCTCCTTCATTTGATTAAAACTTGAACAAGATCTTTAGTAGAAGAAAAACTTCTCTGAAGTCTCAGGAGCTGGCAGGAATTGGCCCAGCTTGCTCCCATCACACTCCTCAGTGGCAGATCAGAAATCCCCCTTAAAGATGGACTAGAATTGTCTTCACAGTGCATAGTCATACTTCTTACCTAACCCATGCCCTACAGCAAATCTGGACATAGTTCAGAATATCTATTTCTGAGGCTTTCCACCTTTAAACAAAGATTTTAAGGAGGAAACTGATGAAGGAGAAAGAGCAGCTATAGCCTGGTGTTGGTCAGTAGGTTCTCCTGAGCACATTGAGACCTGCAGGACCATGTGGTCCAAGTCTGCTGTCACCATATGTTAATTGTTTGAGATGGGGTTATCTGGCCCTAAGAAATGTCTTCAGATTTAGAGTTAGAAATGACATTTATTTTTGAAGAGGTCTTAGCTGAGTAGGCTTTGGCATCACAACACTGATGTGATTGTACTATATTTCTAGGCTGTGTTCCCTGAGACTAGGGAACCGGGGTCTGTTTCCAGTTTGTAGAAAAAAGTCTACTGAAGTCAGTGGTTTCTGATGAAATCAGAACAAACTATCCCATTCACTTTTTGAGGGAAGAATTCACCTGCAGCTAAAGTCAGAGCAAAATTCAGACTTAGTCTGAAGAACCAGTTTGGTCCTTGCTTTCAGGAGAATTTTACACCAGTGTGATGCCACCAACCACTGCTGAGGTCAACGTATGGCACTCACAGGGCCATATATCCTTGTAAAGTAAATGGAAAATACTCATCCTGTATGCACAATTGAGGCAAACCCAAGATGTCTGTCCCGCTTCTTTACTCCCTGTGGTGCTCACCCTACTTGGCACGAAGCAAGCCCCCAGTTTCACTGGCCAGTCTGCCACTGGGACATAGTTGGGGCTTTATACAGATTGGTGGTTGGATGAGTCAGCTGGACTAAAGCACCATGGTGTACACAGCCTGAAAATATTGATGTATTCCCACCTAGTAACCAGACTGACAAAGGTGCAAGTTAAATCAGTGTGTGCTGAACAGTTTTGCCATTAAATCTGGACCCCCTCCCCCTATTTTTTTTCAGCCCTTGAGTTGCAAAGTCCAGTCTATATTTAATGACCTAAATATAACTGGATAGGCTTGACTTTGGAGGATTTCATGTATGGTACTTCACATGAATGCAGTACTGCACAGATCCCATCAGTGAGACATTCGGCTCACTGTACACAGCCACCATGGCTCAGAAAGCATTATTATGCCTAAGGTCTTGGTGCAGCACTGTCAATTGGCTGCAGCTTTGTGTGATATCATTCAGAGATGGTGGGTTGAGTCCTGCTTTATAACTCACTCAGTAACAAATAACATATGACTGGTATAACACTTCTTCCTTTTGTATGACTGGAGAGGAGGTAAAAGAAAGCCCAATGATCACAAAGATCAAATTTGCAGTAAAGCCCAGGTAATGCTACAAATTCTCACTTCCATTTCAATATGAAAGAAGTGTGTCAGAGTTGACTAAAAAGACTGTTCATGCCCAGAAATTGATGAAGACAAAGCATCATTACTGAAAATGTCCAACTATTCACCGTGGAAACGTGTCTGCCATAGGTGGCTTTGCTTTAAAGGACGACAATCCATCTGACCCATGCTGGCCTTGCACTGCAGCAAAACATGCTGGCGAGGCTCATGAGGAGAGATACCAGCACTCTTTTACTGTGCTTTACAACTAAAAGTTAGTTCAATTTGTTGCTAGATTTTTTGTTGTGTTATTTTTCCCCCTATAGATTAATTCCCAGTGCTTCTAATCCCGTGATTTTTTTTTTTTTTTTGAAAAGAGGAAGAGGAAAAAAACTTGAACAAGCTGCAATGTTAAAAAATAGAGGGAATGAGAAGGTGAACAGAAAGAAATAGAGAAGTGCAGTCAGTTGGCATATTGTGCATAGAACGCAACTTTTACTCGCTCGATCTGGTGGCACAGTTTGATGGCTGGACCAAGCTTCAGCTCCATGCATTCTTGCACTGTGGGCAGCGTCAGCAACAGAAGGGCTTGACCATCAATGTCCTGAGGAAGAAAAACACAGTGACAATGGTTTTGTTTGTGAACTCTCGAGGGCAGAGAGGTTTTGAGAAACAAGAAAGGAAATCTGCCCTCAAAACTGAAGACAACTTTGTTCTCTGCCCTATTCTCACACTTCAATGCAGCTCATCTCCTTTTTCTGGAATACCTGAGGCTTCTTTAGAAGTTATCTATTGTGACCTCACAGGCTCTCATCCATCATATAAGGAAAGTCTAGCAGATCACCTTCTAAAGAAACTCTGCAGAGGACTACAGAGGTCAGACAAATTCCATTCTGTGGCTGAGGAAATGAAGCAAGAAAAAGGCTGCAGAGCTGAACAGAAAAACTTAAGTCAGCGTCACAGCACCAAACAAGACCCTTTCTTCCTCTCTTTTGTTCAGCACAGGTTTATGTCTGCCTTATCCCATGCCAAGTCCTCTGAGCCACCTAGGATCTGCCCTGTTCAAAATAATCTGCTGAATAATCAAGAAGAATGGACCTGGATCTCCAGGAGATCTTGCCAACTCTAACGTCACAGAATCTCAGAGTAGTGAAGGGTTCTCTGGAGGTCATATCCCTCCTTCAGGAGCACTCATGCACCAAAATCTATGAGACCAAAGACATTTCATAAGGGATTTCTGTTAGCTTCCTGATCCTTCTTTAATTAAGTGCTCAGGTTCTCTTTATTCTTTAATGGACTAAGAAACAGATGACTGGGCTACAAAACTGCTTTTTAACCCTAAGGGAAGATCAGATTGGAAATGCAGAAAAAGTACAGTAACTCACGGGCAACATAAACTCCCCAGGAAAGCCCTGATTAGGTAGTGCTAAACACAGGGAGGATTTGGACACCTTATACACTGCTTTGATCAGGACTGACCATTGCTCAGGTCCTCCCTACACCAAAGCTTGATGGTATAATTTAATGGTACAGCAAATCTGCAGTCATCTGTGTTTGATTACGATTACCATAAAACTCTATGGCACAGGAGGGACAGGGTTGGCTTTCAAACCTTAGAGTTACTCCAGGCTGATTAACAAATGGTTGTAGCATGCTACAGTGCAGCAACTACAGGATCTTGTTACGAAAGTGTTTCAGCCTTGCTCTACACACACACTTCAATTTCTTCCCATCAAACCTATTGTAATCTGGAACAGAGCTATTTGCAGTGAAGAATCAGAGATAATAAAATATGCAGTTTGCCATATAACCAAGGGCTATGGACTAATTAACCACACTTGCCTCCTTTTAACCATGATTTCCTAGAGCTGCCCTTTACTTTTAGCAGAGGCTGTTACTTATTAGCCAAGGAATGTCTGTTCTATATAAATTTTACATGTTCAGTAACTTTACATGCAGGACACTGGCTTCTACTCCTCCAAACTTATCTATTTAATCAGAGATGTCTGGCATCTCCTAAAATTAGGTCACCAAAGGGCTTGCTTGCCAGATCTTTCAAGGGATGTAGATGGGAACTATCTACACACTTGGAGCATCCAGGTATCGGCACCAAAATTCATGCAGCCAATTTGAGGTTCAATTGGGAAATTTCTACCCTGCAGGCCAATATTTTAAAACAAGGTGGAATCCAAGAGGCTAGGGAGAGATGGCTAGCTATGTAACAACTAACCACTATCTGTTGGTACACCAGGGTGCCTAGGTAACACTGGAATTGTGCTGTGGGTCTTGCCACAGAACCACAGGTATGAAAGGTATAAACGTTGTGCTTTTGACAAGGATGCTGACTAGGGGGTGAAGAGTGGGTTTGTGCTCTCTTGAGTATCTGACAAGGCTTTGACTTGAATTTCTGAGGGTACTCATGCCTTGTCCAGCTGTTCGCCATAGCTTGGCCTCGGGGGATCTGAAATTTGCTTAGAAGCTCTTTGTGGAAGCCCTGGGTCCAAAGCTAGCAACATGCGTTGCTTTATTTATTATTTATTTATTTTTAATGTGAATAAGCACCACGGGCACAAAAAAGAAGAGTTACGTGAAGATCTCTACCTGCTCCTGAAATATTTTGGCAAGGGGTGCACAGTCAGTCAGTTTAATAAACCTCACAACATCAGTCACAGTCCACTCCAATGGATTACTGTCCAAGACAAGCTTCTCTTCTTCTTCGTGCTTAATTTCCTACAGAAAAAAATAGTTATCTTAATAAAAACCATGGTATGGAAAACCATGCAGCTGCACAGTAGGGATGCCCTCCTCAGATGAGGAAGGCTAGGCACTGAAGGACAGTGCAGGGAAAACACTGGTAGCCTGGGGTCATACTCACTTCCTTGACCTGTGGTGACTTCTCCACCTCACTGCAAGACATGGCTTGTGGCCGGCGGCTCCGCCGGGCCCTCTCCATAGGAGGAGGTCTGTCTGACTCAGTGCTGCTGCGCAAGGTAACTGCTCTCCGGGGCCTAGCAGAAGGGACCTCAGCAGAGGAGGTGTCCGTCTGATCATCACGGAGCTCTGAGCTCGTCTCCTCACTTCCCGTCTCATCCTCAACTGCATCCGGCTCGTCTTCTTCACTCTCCTGCACAAAGACCAGCAGGAAAAGGGCACCTGGGCTCAGAGATTGATACAGCAGCAGATCAAGAGACACCAGGCCAAACTGCAGGGCCCATGTCACAGAATCACAGAACCGTTAAGACTGGAAAGGTCTTGTCCGGCCATCAATCCATCACGATCACGACACTAAACCACAACCCTCAGTGCCACATCTCCACATTTCTTGAACACCTCCAGGGATGGTGACTCAACCGCCTCATTGTGCAGCCTGTTCCAATACCTCACCACTTTTTCTGAGAAGAAATTTTTCCTAATATCCAACCAAACCTCCCCTCTTGCAATTTAAGGCAATTCCTTCTTATCCTATCAGTTCCTGTGAGAAGAAGCCAAGCTCCTCATTGCTACAACCTCCTTTCAGGCAGCTGTAGAGAGCAATAAGGTCTCCCCTGAGCCTCCTTCAGACTGAACAATCCCAGTTCCCTCAGCTGTTCCCCATAAGACCTGTGTTCCATGGTGGCCTACAGTAACATTTATTTTAACCAAATATTTCATTTTCATTATAGTGCCAAGTCGATTAACCTTCAATTTAGATTCATAACAAAATGTAGAATTAAGAAATAGCTGGTGAACAAATTCTTTCTTTGTTTCTAACAAAAGGTCAATGGTAATAACTCATTTGACACGAAACATTCCTCTGCTGTGTTGGCATATCAAACCTTATGGCACTGCAGACGTGCATGAGAAGGGGAAATGGAAAATACTTAAAGCATAAGGTGAAACATAGGTTGCTTGAAACGAAGCAAAATCTTAAATAGGCTTTCAAAGAATCATGGAATCATGGAATCATTTGAGTTGGAAGGGACCCTTAAAGTACATCTACTCCAACTCCCCTGCAATAAACAGGGGAGTTGAAAATTTTACCTTACTTCAACATTTCACCTTACTTCAAACGGCCATGGGTGTCATTGGTACTAAATGGAAGGAAATGCTGGTGTCTTTTTAAAATATCTACATGTACCAATGTGTAGGATGTATTGCTCAGCTGGCATTTCTGTAAAATTCAGTATAAAGGACTTCACTTAGACTTCCTGCTTTCAGCCCAACATTTAAGTACTGACAGAGCTGTGCAAATTTTCAGGTAAAGGAAACCACACTAAATTCTTGGGACTTCTATAACACAGAGCTTGCAAATATAAATCAACTGATGGAAACTGTGTATCTTGAACTTTATATATAAGTAGCCAAAATGGCTGTGATATCTTAGCTTTGAATGAGCTGTGAGCATGCATCCAACGCACATGCATAGTTTTTAGCTGAAAGAGCCACTTTAGCCCAAATCAGCTATATTGGAAAGGCTGAAAAACTTGGCTAATGGTTGATTTCAGCTCAAAATGTGTTTATTTCAGTTTAAATTCCTTTCAGGTGGTATAATTTAAGGAAATAAGGCTGAATCACACCTAAACGAGGTCACGAATGTGTAAGCTATCAAGTGACAGTGGCTTAAGCTGCTTCCCTCCAGATGAATTAGAGGGAATTTAACCAAATCAGCTTGCTTTCTCACTGCATGAAGCAACAATAAATGGTGCTCAGCTGAGGAAAGGAAACAAAACAAAAACAGGTGTTTTGTCATTACTATCACAAGGAAATCACCTGGAAAAGGGTTCACACAGAAGGTATTTAATCACAATGGCTACAGGTTTCAGTTGGACACGAATCACTGCAAAATTCAGGATCCTGTATCACAGCACATCCTGAAAAGATTGAGGCCTCAGATACCACATATTTGGGACACACACTATTTACCTGATTTCTCTGGCTGCTTAGCACTTTTGTTGTTAGCAGTGGTGAACCAAAAATACTACGGAGGGTTAATGAAAAATTAAAAGCCCTTGAAACCATAATGCCCAAGAGTTATTATTATTTACTAGAATATTTTGAGATCTTAGATGCTGCACCAAGCACCAAACAGGCCCATCTGTCTGCCCATAGGGCTATAAGGAAGCAAAAGAAAACAAAGATACAGTATTAGTGCAATAGCTAGCAAACCTTATGAAGGCAGAAAGAAAAACAGTATCTTCTAATTCTAGAATGGTAAAGGGTGAGAGTTCCTAAAGTGCCCCAATATAACCAATTTAATGTTAAAAGATGAAGGGTGGTAAGGAGAGTTTCGAAATGAGAGACAGAACTGGTGGGGTTTGCTGAGAAGTCCCTCAAAAAGGAGATGAAGACAGAGGGGAAAGCACCAAGGTCATCTGCTGATTTTTCCCAGTGTAATGCATACCTCTGCAGAGCCTGCAGCATTCAAATCAACAGCTGACGACCTTCTTTTCTTCTGCACAAAGATGGATTTCCGCCTTTTTCTGCGTCTGGCTGGCTTGACATGTCCACTTTTCATGTTATTATTTTCCCCAATTGGTGGCTTAATGATTTTTTTCCTCTTTCCATAATAATAAGCTGGAGGAAGGAAATCAAAACGCTCATTAAAACCTTTAACCACCCAGAGAAGAGAACTTCAGCTTGTTTTCTGCTACCAATTCAGTGTTACCCTCTAGGTGCACTTTTATAAGAAGTCTAAAATACCCTGATTTGGAAAAAAAAAGTCCAGTATAAATAAAAGATACCATTCTGGACTAGCACAAAGTGTTACAACTTTTATGTTTACATTTTTATTGGTGATGAGTAATGAGTTCAGAATTTAACCCCACACTCTGTACTTAGACCAAGTTGAAATGAGAGGACATCATGCTTCAGATTTGATCCAATGCCCTTCTGCATGAGTTAAGACACACTTTCAGCTGCTAATGGTTTCAGTGGATGGTGGAAGGGGCCAGGTAAGGTGAATTATGTACGTTTCTTTGATGCACAAAGGAATATGTTTTGCTTTTGTTTTCTAACTTTGAGTGTTTTGGCCCAAGTTTAAATTAAGAACGTGAAATCCCCTGACCTTACTTAGTGGCTTGGTTCATGTTCTTTTTGACATGTTCTACAGCATCCACTGGGGCTGACAAGTAGGGTGTCCTGGGAAATGTGGACTGGCACCCACGTCAAAGTTTGTCACTGAACTGAGTTTTTCAATACAAGAACAAAGTTTAGGTCATCTTTCATCTGAACAAATATAAGCATCAACTCTGGGATAAGATAATCGCAGCTGTAGATTCCCCAGCTGTACTCCAGTTCTCCATTTGCTACCAATGGGAGCTAGGTGTCCAGATCAAATACAGAATTCCAGAAACTCATATTCAGTCATATAAACCTTCCTCGGCATGTCTGTCCTTCTATCCTAGCACCAAATCAGTTTAAGTAAATCATACAGGTTTTTTTTTGCAACTTCTGTGATAGAAAGACAGTGCCCACTTCCATTTTTCCTGACATAAAATCCAATTGTAGCAGTAATGCTGACCAGTAATAAAAGTAACACTGACACTGTAAAGCACCCAACACATGCTTAACTTCAGCCTTCCTGAATAGGTAAGAACAATTTTACAAACCCTGAAAGAGAGTTGAAGCTGTATCAGCACCACGATACTGTGCTGGCATGTATGCTGAAAACTCTTCAATGAGAAGGACAGGATTCATCTAACCCAAAGAATGTGTTTCAGATGTAGCAGTTTAAATCTCAGCTGGCCACTGCAGGTTCCTTTTATGTTCCTTATATTAACTTAACATACAAAGAAAAGTCAATGCTTCCAAAGAGCAGTGAGTTTCAAAGAGATGTATTAGGATGGAGTGAAATGGACTGTCTTCTGGAGATGCTCATTTATTTGTACAGAATAACAAAGAAGCCTGCAGTGATTTGGTCAGAACCAAATAACTACAAGTACTGTACCTACTCTACTCTACCTGCAAGAGGTGAGTCCCACTCAATAGTAATGTATTGCACAACTCTTTTTCTTCATACCTAGCTCACACGTAGCATCCCACTGCCCTGAATCCTCGCTAGCAACAAGCCTTGCAGACAATACTCACTGTACTTGGTTTTAGTATGAATGGAGCAGTTCTCTGGGCAGACTTCAGCCACCAGCACAGGACTGAACAAATTGGGACAGCACTCCAACTTTGCACAGACTCTTCTGCAGAAATCCGCTACCTGATCCGACGTTCGTACAATCTTAACAGTCGCCCTGTATGTCTTCCCTCTGTATCTGGAAATGAGTACAAGAAGATCCAATGTTACCAATCAAGTGTTGTCCTTTGAGGCTACACAGCAGACTCTGCCCTCTTTTAGGGAAATACTTTCCCTGACAGCTTTTGGGAGAGTCTCTTGGGCAGGCAGGCAGACCAGTTCTGCTTGCCTACATGACTCTATTTCAGATTGACTTGAAAAATGAGAAGTAGGATGGAGTGATTGTGGAAAACTTGAAAACAGAAAAGAAGGGTAGAATGATCCTAAAAGCTGAGGCTAGGACATGGTTTGGAGAGGAATGCATGTGCAAACTGGAGATATGGCAAAAGACAGAAAAAGTTCATATCGACTTGGTGTGGGTATTATACAGGATGTCATCCTTTGAACTGATGCAAAGTACTGAAGAGTAGTCTCTTCTCACATGTGGACCTGAGAGAAGCTTATATGCCTTGTAGAACTTCCCGGTCACCACCTTGTCTTTAGGCTGTAGTGAAGACTACAGCCCGTTAGTCTCCACCCTACCTTTTGTCTTCTCTATTGCTGTCTTTCTCAAAGCAGTTCTCCCCTCATGTTCCATAGCACAACATTTTTGTTGTGCCAACTTCAGTCACTGAACACATACACAGTGCAGAAGTATCGAGGTGAAACTGGATTGCCTGCCATATGGAGACCAGATGACTTCACTGCTATGAGATCTGGGTAGCACACAACCTGAGAAACTAATAAGGAGTCTACTGAGTGGTTTAATAGGGCTACGAGAACAGGCCCTAAAACCAGTGATTCCTACAGGGAATGCTTAGAGCAGAAATCTGCAATGAAACGTTTGCCTGAAATTTGTTATCCATGTGCTACTAAAACATTTATTCCACTGTTTTAGACGAAGTGTTTCTGAGCGATAACTGGCTAAGAAAGATACAGTTACATCCCTGCTGTAATACACTGTAGATGTGAACTCTGAAAAACCAATTATCCCCATAATTTATTGAACAGCAGCACCGAACTACTGTAAACTGTGAGATAAGGTTTTTAAAACATCTCTTACACATCCTAAGGAGCAACACAAGAGACAATCATGCAAACGCCTGGTGCTTAGGCATCATTAATGTGCTTTAGAAGAGAAAAAAGTAACACACACAAAACAGAAAGAGGGGGAAAGAGTGAAAGACAGAGATTACTGGTTGGGAAGTCATCAGGAAAAACAAGACAAAGGATTTGTGAAGGTACTAAGATCTACAGTTCACTACCAAGGGAGCAGCTGATAGTCAAATACGAAAGGAGAGCAGAAGGAGAAGCAAAGAAGATGTGGCTGGAGAATCAAAATACACAGCATATACCCAGACTCAATTCTCTCTCTGAAGGTTCTACTGAGCTGTGCAAAGCAAGTGAGAAACCAACTCTTCCAGCCTCTACCTCCCAACAACCCTTTCTGGAAGCACTGGGATATGGGAAAAGGGTTCAACCCCATGGTACATAAAGTAATATGGAGGGTACTTAATCACAGAATCATAAGGGTGGGAAAAGATCACTGAAATCATCTAGTCCAACCATCAACCCATCACCACCATGCTATATGTTAAATAAAATTTGGGTCTGAAAACAGCCCAACTCAGCCATCCTCATGTCGCAGAAGACTTGATCCAAACTATCACCTCAACACAACACTCTCTTCCAGAATCTAAAAGATCATCTCTGCAAGGCACCAGGCTCTGACACCCTATTTGGTGCTCAAACAAGGACCCCAAGTTATAGAGACTATAGAGACAATGCTGGAATGAATGCATGAATAAATTATTTTATTAGCCAACCCTTCATGCATCCTGACAGACCTTGGCAGATAGATGATATAAAATGGAAAAAATGCTTCTTCCAGATAGAGAGCACTGTTATTCCAGCTTCCCTGCAAAGCAGCTGGCTAGCTAAAGGAGGTTTGGCAATATCTAATATAAAAAGAACAAAGTCCACAGGCATTTAAATATATCTACTTATAAATGTTTTCTATTCCTTTTCAACATGACTGAAAAGACTCCTGCCCTTATTACTTCTCCAGGAGCCATTAAGTTTAAGGAGAGCTGAGATTGTTAGGTCAGTAAATCTGAATCCAGTGACAGGCTTAGGAATTTCAGTTACATTCACCTGAACCCTCAACAACTTTGGATGAACTAGAGCATCACTTCCAGCAAAGCACCAGCTTCCTCTTCATGCTGGAAGAATCCTGGCAGCAGGAGCATCTGTACCTATAAGTCTGTGTTTCATTTTGTGCATGGAAGCATGTGGATTTAACTTACATTTAATTTGTCCTTGTTCTGACTTTCACCACTAAGATGAGAAGACTGCATCTGGTTTTGTTTTCCTGCAAAAGCACTGTAATCAAATTGCTTCTTGATCTTCTTTCTTGCAAGCTAAGAGAGCTGCCTGATGGGTATTATTCAAGGATGGCTGACTTCTTCTAACCATGTACTTCCTATTGTGTTTGGCTACCCAGAAAGGACTCATTGTACCAGAGAGCCTGGTGAAAGAAAAAGATGAAACTAGGCAAATGAACAGCTGTCTGATTTCACAGTCTGGTCTGAATGTATTGCACACAGCAATTAACAGAACGGGTGGCAAAATGCAGCTTAACGTAACTGCACCCATCAGCCTCAATAATCCAACGTGTTAGTGCTGGCAACAGTAATATTTTTTTACAAGATTTTGGCCTTGGCAGCACCTCTTTCAATCATAAACCAGGTTCTACTAATATTTTCCATTTTCCTCGTACTAAAGATCTGTAACACAACCACCACCAAATGTGGTTTAGGACAGCTATATGGAAAGAGTGCCTCTGGATATCAGAAAACTCTTTTCCATTAATATCATTCAAAAAATTACTTACTGCTGATACTCCTATTGATGCTCTCATACAAGGACTCCCATTTTCATTAACACTTTTAAGCACTAAGTGAACTGCATGCACAGCACAGCAGCACTGCAGACATGGAAAACAGCTGTGTCAAGCATATTTTAATTTTTTTGAAAGTCACTGTTCTTCAAAAAAGATTTTTCAGCTACAGGTAAATGAATCTCCCTTTCCTGTCCCACTATCCTGCCATCAGATCCCAAAACTTGGAGAAAGTATTTTGGCTGAAGTTATTTCCAGGAAAAAAATATGCTCAGTATCTTTGTTGATTCATGAGCAACAATACTGAGCTAATAGCAATTTGCTAGCTGTGTCATACTTATTCTTCTTTTGGAATTTGAGATTCATGAGAATAAAATATCTTCTAAGAGCTCCAGCTGGGGTCCATTGTGTGATACTGTGAAAAGCCTCATGCTGAAGACACATCAAACAGCAAGAGCATTGAGACTACCCTCATTTTCAAAGGTTTCATCACAAGGATACAGCCCACAGTTCTGACAATCTTTGAGACTATTTTGAATAACTCAATGGCTAAAAGCTTCCATTTCTTTCAGGGATCAAAAACTCCTATCTCTTCTTTTGCAAGAAATTTCCAATTTGCTTTAAAAAGCTTAAGTCCACCAAAAATGAGAAATCCCCAAGGAACATTGGTTACCCACAGCAGACAACCAAAGTCTCTCTCCATCTCATCTACTTGAAGCAACTTACCATGATGGCAGCAGAAACTATCTAACAACCATTTCATGATGTTTGAATGAGACCCTGCCTACAGGGATCACTGCAACTGCCAAAGAGAAAAAACCTCCGAAGTTTTCATCAAAACTGGCACCCCGAAGCTGCTCAGTATATTCTAAATAGGGGGATTTTACAAATACTCCTAATCTGTGTAAAATTGACAGAAATGTGGTAGTTTTCTTCTTCCAAAGCTATCTGATCACCCAGTGATATTTTGTAATATTGAAAATATGATTTGGCGAGGGTATTGAAATTATTCTTATTGAAAATACACGTCTCGGTAAGTTTCCTCATTATGAAAAGGTTTAAGTCACTCCATTGCTGGTAGTGTATTCTATCTCCAGTAATTGGCACAAAAGGCCAAATGATTACACTGATTCACCCTTGCAACACCTCAAGAAGAATGTGGCAGGGCTGACACAGAAGACAAATCACATCATATGAGTTGTAGCTTTGTACTAACATTTGAGGACAACCATTAATAACTGGCTGCCACTTGGACTTCATATCACTGATCACAACCCTTTGGGCTCAGTTCTCCAGCCAGTTTTCCACCCACCAGGCACACATCCAATTCACATCTCCATAGCTTGGCTATCAGGACACCATGGGAGACTGTCAAAAGCCTTGCTAAATTAAAAACAAATAAATTCCATTGCTTTTCCCACAACCACCAAAGCAGTCAACTTGTCACATGAGGTGCAACTTGTTTTTAAGTCCACATTGGCTTTTCCCAGTCACTTTCTGGTCCTGCATGTTCTTGAAAATGGCTCCCAGGAGGACGCTGCTTAATAATCTTTCCAAAGACTGAGGTTATGCTGACCAGTCTGTAGTTACTTGGATTCTCCTTTTTACCCTTCTTGAGGAAAGATCTGATGTTTACCTTTTTTCCAGAAATGGGGAAACTTCCCTTACCACATGAAATTTCAAACGTGACAGAGTGGCCTTGCAATGACATCAGCTAGCTCCCTCAAGCAGAACTGGATGCATCCCATCTGGCTACATGCAGTTTATTACATTCAGTTTGCTTATGTCATCCCGAGGTTATTTCTGTCTTCCATGGTTAATAAATGCTTCACTCCTTCACTCCTTCAAAGAGTGATAGGGACCTGGGAGGCTGGAGCACAACCCCTAACAGCTGTTAAGGCAAAAGCAAGGCAAAGAAAACATCAAATACCTCAACACAAGTGAAAGGCAGTTTTGTAAAGCGTTCATGGTGTGAAGACTTTGTTGGAAATGCAGCTTGGAAATAAATAAGTCATTGTGTCTGTGATTTGAGGTCAATATTTCTAGACTACAGCTACTGGATTTGAGCTCAGAATTTCATTTAGTAAGGAGTCCAGGAATACCCATCTTTCTTAATTTGATCAACTGGACTTCAAACTAGACCCCAGATAATTTACAAACACTGGTATTTTTTGTGTACTAAGTCCTAAAAGAATAGGTAAGTCCTAAAAGAATGGGAAAGCCCAATCAACTCCACTTACAGCTCTTAGAAGTGAAGGCTCTTACAAAGCATAAAGACTCTCAAGCCTTTTTAAGATTGGGAAGCCAAATCTAGATGAAGGCACTGAAATTAAAGCATCAAAACCATAAGGGCTGAATGTCCACAACTTTGTCTGTTCCTCACGGGAATTCAGGGGATTAGGCCTGACATTTCTAACTCATCATCACCAATAAATCAAATTTGGCTATTTTCACAGAAAGCCAGTAGTGTGGTGGGAAGTGAATGCCATCACACATTGCAGACCCATCTCTTTGGACAGTCTAAATTGTTTATCTTCTTTGCAAGGCTAGCATAATTGATTCTGTCCTGGTCACTTGTGACAGCAGAGTAAACGAAACGCACCTTGCACTAGGACTGAGATAATGCCTTCCCACCACTGAATAATTTAGCATTTGGGCCAGTGGGAAAAAATGCTGCCTTCTCACCATCCTCCTCTCTCACCATCTCTCTTCTTTACTGCAGCCATCGCTGCAAACAAACAACAACATTATCAAGATCTAAGGAGTTGTCAGTTTATATCAGAAGGAAGGAGGTGACATGACATGTCACATTACAGCACAGATGCTGCAGCTGGCTGTAGAGCTGTCATCATTAGCAGCAAGACACCATTGGGAGCCAGCATAGCTGGAAGTCTGTGTAGACAGGCGTTTGCTCGTTATAGGGCTCTGTTTAAGATTCTGGAGCACAACCGACTGTCATACCTGATGTAGCATGTCATGTGCTGTTTGCACATCCCAGGGTATCTGATTTCATCAGCATGTTTTCTTTCCTACTTCTGCACAACAAAATGCAATTAAAGCCCCAGCAGGCTTCTTGATGAATCAGCTCAAGTAAACTCCGGATGGAAAAAGAGAGGTCCAAGGGTATTCAGATAGGGTAAGTCTATCCTCTGACAACCAATAAAAATATCCCAGCTACTTGCAGACAAGCTGGTTTCATCAGCCAGCACCACTCCAGAAACCAGACAGATGCACCCATATGGTTTTCTCCAGTTCCATTAGAGCTCAGGAGGCAGAGAACAACGCAGTACTGAGTATCTTTCAGTGCTTAGAAGTGACACCAACATTTGATGTCCTAGCTCTGAGTCTGTGAAGACCCATTCCGTGGTTTGATAAAATTGAAAGATGCTATTTGACTTGTTGAGAGCTGAGACTGCTGCCTGAAAAAATGAGTGGAAATACCATGAGGGAAGGAAGAAGAGGTGGATGTGCTCACTACAGTATAGTTAGCACATCAGGTAACATGAGGGAGGATAAGGGCTGATATGGAACAGATGGGCTCTGGTGGACCACATACTCCTCATTAGGTTGGTCTTCCTGGTTCAAGCATGCCCAGAGCCCACAGACTGCCTGGGATTTCAGTGGATTGGCCAACAGATACAGCTGACTACTAAGGACAAAACACCTCTACGCTTGTTGGCAAATTGAATATTTGACAGGCTGTCTCCTGCTAGAAATAAGGGTTGCAGAAGTTACAAACTACATAACATTGCTCTTGCACAAGGCAGATACTCACACTCAAATAAGAAACCCCAACAACTTTCTATTCTGAACACTGCTTCTAGGAAAACTACCCATTATCTTCAGTCTTTGCAGGACACGACGTAAAGTTGGGGCACTAAGACTTGACTCCACAGCTGCTTAGAATCTGCTGCAGTGCATTATCTGTTGCTTGATAGGATCCTGCAATCAGTGAAATCATTGTCCACAACTTCCATTTGTTTTTAATGGAAATCTGCAGGCACAAATATGACTTTTGGATTCCAATCCACAAAGCTTTGTTCAATGAACACAAAAGCATGACCTTCCACATGAGTGAGAGAAGCAAATGAAAACAGTGTTTTCCAGTAGCTTTTCATTTCTAATTGCAATTCTACTTTAGAAAAAGTTTCTGACTAGGAAGGATAAAAGGTTCTCAGTTCTCTCCCTCAGTAAGAGCACATATGTGATTTCTCCAGTGTCTGCATGGCCAAAGAACAAATATAACAGCAATCAATAATTCCATATTTGATGCCAATCATTGTAAATATACAAAATAAAATTGCTTTTATTCGAAAAGGAGTAAAAGTTCAGTACAAAGTGTGAAATTCTCTGCATTTAGTGTCAGGACTCAAAAAGTCGAAGTGATGAAGCTTGGTTAGAAACAGATTGCTACCTAAAGGAACTATTTGCTGAGTTTTTCTTAAAATGAGATGAACTGCTTTTTGGAAGTATCTGAAGAGAGCTAACGTGCTTTTTCCCACTTTTAAACAGATAATTATTGAGATAGATACTAAATATAGTGCTCACTACATAAAGAATACATAAATGGTTACATTTTTAAGTAGGAAGGGAAAACAGAGTATTATTTTCTAGAAACAAAACTTTCTTAAATATTATTCAGACAAGAACTGAAGCATATATTCTAGAAACACATTAAACCATAATGTGACACTCAGATCTGCTAATATTTTGTCCTAAACACTCTGCTGCTTAAAAATAAGTCCCTGCTATTTTGTATGCGTGTTTTGATGCCATCAATTCTTGCCAAGTTTTTCTGCATTCGAGTGGCAGGCTCTATATTAAAAGTAGTAATGCAACTATATTTAAAAAGCTGAAGATTGAGTGAAATCAGTAATAGCTGAGTTCATAGGAGCCCCTTATCGTATAAGTCAAGATTTTGCAGAATAAGCATGCCACATTTCTGCAAAATTTGGATGGCTGCTTGGGGAAAGACAATAGAAATGAACCATTCAGGTGAAAATTTCACTTCTTAAGTTGCTATGGAACAAGTAAAGCGACTCAATGAAGCAAAATGATAATTTAAAAAAACTCTTACAATACAGTTATTTCTTTTCCCAGCCAGCTCCACTTCTGAAGCCTCCCATAACAAAAGGGCACACACACTGAAGACTTACTTTGCTTTGAGCGTTTCTTCTTGGAAATTCCACTGAGGATCTTCCACTAGCTGCAGTTCTCGTAAAACACTCCCTGGCTTGTAAGCTGCATTGATCACCATGCTCAGAACCTAGTGAGATAAAATCAACAACACTGACGGATTTAAAAGTAGCCCTCAACAACAACAAGCATGATCTCTGGTGCTGTATAAGCAGAAGAAGCTTACAGATGCCTATTAGGTTCAAGGATACACAAGACAAGGGCTACAAGAAGAGGTCCCAGATTCAATCAATATGCAAAGTATATTGTTGACAATGCCTCAGTATGATGCCACAACTGCTTTAAATGCTGCTGGCTAACCCCAGAGATGTCCCATTAAATGAACCTAGCTGCTGTGCCTTGAGACAGACCTCACCCAAAAAAAGATTCCATTCCCTGCACCCACAGGGCTCAATGTAATAAAAAAATAAAAATACCTCTGATGGCTCAGCCAAGGACAATGTCACATGTGTTGTTATATAATGAACACTAAAGGGGAAATTCATGCATTTAAGGTTGGCAATATGCTTAAGAATCTGAGTGCTGCATGCCCTGACAGTACTAACAGAATATTAATAAAGTATACACAAAAAGAGTTGGCAGGAGGTGAGTCTAAAAACCAGTGTGTGTCCACTCAGTACAATAAAACACATGTGCTAATCCATTTAATCCAAAGTTTTTGAGAATAAAAATAGTTCCTACAGAGAACCTAAGCTTTAATGGCCTCCACTTGGCCTAAGGAGATAAATACAAGAAAAACAAATCTCTTAATAGCACCAGACCATGTGTTTGAACACTCCGCATTGTACGTCAGTGAATGATCCCACAGTGAGTCTGGATTAGTTTTGGTATAATTTAGCTCTTTACCTAATGTCTGCTCTTAATTCCTTGAGGGCCTGCAGACATCTTCAAATGATTTCAGTGTGATGAGCATTACGTTTCCCCAACATACCCAAGAACATGCTGCATCAGAAATGAAAGTCTAACTACATAATACTGCAAAGAGCAACTAGTTTATTTTTTACTAAACAATGCAGCAACCATGATGATTTGATGGCTTTTTGAAAATCGTGTAGGGTGGAACATTTTCTGATGAGGGTTTCACTTGATGTTGCATAGTACCAGATGAAATGGAAGTGGTTTGAGTGGCCTGGTTAGATTATTTACTAGCAGCAAAATCTGATTTATCACTGAGAGATATGGCAGAGATACTTGGAAATCTGCTAGAAAAAAAAGTGCAACTGAGATATTAAGAACAATGCCTCTAGTAACAGCATCCAATGCCTCATGCAGTTCTGATCACCTGTACATCTCAAAGCATTCTATGAAGAAGGGCAAAAGCACACTCCTTACCTTACACAAGGAGAATCTAAAAGACAGATTTACACACAGCTTTTGAGCTGGTTCTTATCACGACCCAAAATTCCCAAGAGAACAAATGAAAGCTTTTGAGTGGCTCCATCCAGCTGCTCATCCACATCTTTTCTTGTCTGCTACTCACCAAATACAGATACAGCACTGACATCCAGCACATATATCCAATGCACAGAAGCCAAAGGTAGGTTTTCAAGAGCCACAAAGTCCTTGGATGGCTCCCACGCTCATATATAACTCAATAGATGTCCTCCTGTCCTTACTTGCAAATCAGGAAGACCCAACTTTGCAAATAACTGTTTGGCACTGCTTGAGCATTATCAACTGCAGCCTCACAATGCCAGTACTTCTCCTGGAATTGGCTTGTCATCAACAGAACCCTCAGTAAACTTCTAAAGAAGTTTTTTAAAAGAGTGTTTATAAGAGCAGCCATTTCCCTTTAAGACAAGAGAAAAGGTGGTTTTTTTTTTTTTTAAAAAAAAAAGCTTTAGCTTTTAGACTTCTTGTATCTCAAATAAATCACTGAGTCTGGCATTTCACAGTGTGGCAGGAGTCCACTACCATGTTAAATACGTTATTTTCTAATAACATTATTTCTTAATATTACACACTATTAAACAGTAGGAAGAAAAAACACACACAAAGTGAAAAAAAAAATCCAATAACACTTTATTTATTGCAGAGAAATTAACTAGTATTAAAGCAAAAACAGTGAAGAAATCCAGAGCAATTTCCAGTTCTCTCTGGAGATGGAAGGTCCCTTCACATAGGTCAGATGGGTCAAATTTGATTTGATTTACCAAATTCCCTTTGGCTGGAGTGTGAAGGGTCTAAGATTTTTCTATTTATTTTCAGCCCTCTCTGTCAGAAATGGTTTGGATAGAGCCAACAGTGCCTTGGAGCAGAAGGGTGGATGAGACAACACCAGCCTTTGCTGCTGTACACCTAACAAGTTTTGTTCTGTTACTGCTGAATATTCTTTGGATTTTCAGAGTGAAACAGACTGAAGCCACACTGGTGAGCACGATCACACAGCAACATCACAAGTCTCTGCCAAACCTTATAAGTACCTGAATCTTAGTTATCAGCTTTCCCACACCAAGAGCACAAGTGCCTTTTCTAAGGATATCTAGAAGTGCCTACTGGGTACTCAGCACCTTTCTTTGCATCGTGGATTGGTTGGGATTTTCACATTACCCATCACTCAACCCCTCCTCATTGATGACCCCAATCCTGGATGAAGCTTTTCAGGAAACAGCACCATGAGGTGATATCACAAAACAGCACTAAGCCTCTTCTCCTGTTCAAGAGCCCATTTGCTGTCATCCTTATGAGGAAAAAGTCAGTTTTCTTCCTCTAATTGAGATGTGATCCCACTTCTCCTAACTAACAGGAGAGACGCCAACTCCCAGACTAACCTCAGACAAAATAGCTGAAGTTGTTTTATTTTACTTGAAATAAGGACACAGCTGTGTGGCAAAGAAGGAAAGAAGAACTATTTGGGATTCTTAAGTTAAATGATCAAACACCTGTAACTGCGCTTTTGTCACACACGAGGTAGTAGCACATGAGTTCTGACGTGCTTAAGACAGCCTATGAAATTTCAAAAATACAGACAGCCAGATCCAAGTTGGAAGATCCATTATCAGTGAGTCAGTGCCCATGAATTACTCAAGGACAACACTAATGAACCCCCTTGCAGAAATGCAACTTATATCTTTCCAAACTATGAAAGATTTCTGCCATCCTAACAGAAGATCTGATCGCTAATGATAACACCATCAACATGGCTCAATTATATAGCTAAGGCTCAGTACAGGCTACATGGTTTTCTGAGCATTTTCATTTAATTATGCAAATTTCTCCTAAGTCATGCTGTGATGCAAAAAAAAAAAAAAAAAAATCAAGTTGCAGAATGCAATAGCTTTTCTTCACAAACAGTGGCTCATTTTTCCTGCTTGCATCAGTTGAAAACAGTAACAGTCATGATATCTGTAGGTCTATTTTCATCCAGATAGAAAAACAGCAAAGTGTCTTAAAATAGTAACAGCAGTAAACAAAGAATCTAATTAATCTTTATAGCATATTTCCTTAAGATTCGGTGGGTTATAGATCATCTTAAATCTTAAAAAGGCATCTCATTTTATAATGTTATAGTGGTTAAATTGCTGGCATAGATGAAGGAACCACTAAGTATTTTTGATATTCTGACCCAAGAATGAAACCTTTAGCTGACTGTTTCTTTTAATCTAATTTAAAGCTAGTATTTCTTAGATATCTTAGCTATTATACAACCACTAATTTCCAGCCCAGCTGCAGCTGGTTGATCCGTGTTGATAGTTGATATCTCCACTGTCTCTTGGCTCCAAATCTCAACTTCTTTTCCAAACAAGCATCTCAGGAATGAGATAAACTCTGAAGCTGATGTTAAACAACAGTTGTTATCATCCTCACTTGCCCCTTGAGGTGAAAGAAGCTACAATAAACCAGAGACTTGTGCTGGCGCCAGGAATAATGAACCTCCTGGCTTTAAGAATAAGTTTGGCACCAGATACAAGAATAGTTCCTTGCTTCTCACCTAAGGCTCTACATGGATGGAAGAATGCATACACACAAGCAAACACAGAACTGCAGCCAGTATTTTTGATCACACCACCAAATAAGCTGTAATTGCTCTCACAGTTCTACACGGACATCTTGCTCGAGGGGGATAATTCTGGGAGGTACCTCAGTTTTGTCACTGCAGAGCTCACAACCCCTTCTTCATCCAACACACTGGAGCAAAGAAATTGGAGGATGCTTTTTCTGCTGGAGAAAACGTGCTGCAAAAAAGCAAGCATATTCATGCCACTGCTCTCCCCAAATCCCTTTGAGAATGGCCCAGACTACTCATCCGGAAGGGGATGTACTACTCCACACTACAAAATTACCTCCCAGCCTTCTTTAGTCCAGAGCCAAGCAGTACTGACCATCAGATATCTCACTGCAGTATGCAGGCTGGTACCACCAGTTCGTTTGGAGCTGGATCCAGAACGATGTGTCACTGCATCAGAGACAGATGCAGGGAAGGGACAAGACTTTGGGGTAAAAGATGGCTGAGCAGCAGTGTGAACCCATCAGTGCCAAACACGGTACCATCTCCATCATAGAGACTGCTGCCCACTGGAGTTGCTCACAACTGGCACAGGTTTAAATTTTAACTAGAGCAACTCTAAAGGCAGAGAGCTACAGCTAGAGACCAGGGTGATCAGACCACTGCTGAATCTGTTCTTCCTTCGTAACTGTTGTTTCAGGTTGTCTGTCCCACACTCCCCTGTGTGTTGCCAAAGTAAAGCCCATGTATAATTTATTTATTCCAGACAAGTTATGCTGATGCATAATTTATAACAGCTTGCAATTTGCATTCTCTGGGCTACATCATCAATGGGTATAACGCGAGACAGAGCCACCAAGCTTGGTACTGAATATGGGCCAGAGGAATGGAGACTCATCCTTACCGTCGCCCATGGTTCTCTGAGCTGCATAAAGTCTTTCATCTTGGCAGCAGCTGATAGGAAACATGTGTTTCCTCCACAGCTAAATCCTGAATGTGTTCTCTTCAACCCTTCCAGAATTTGGGACTTGTCCCCATGCATCTATGAGTCTGGATTTATCTTCAAAATACTGCTACAGAACACTGGGTCATTGCCACGGCTCTGCTCCTTGGTAAGACACTCATGGCTCCAAAAGCAAGATGTCTGTGTCTTGCTGACACTGTTCTTTGGTCTTTCAACACAGAATCCTTCAAGAAGTCAGAGCAAGGAAAAACTGGATTCCTGTAGGAAACTTCAGCTGGTTTGCATGGTCAGTAACAGGGCCCATTCTTTAGCAATCTGGAGAAGCTGGTGGTAGCCAATGTAACAATACACAGGCAAACAAAGCATGGCATGAGGGGAAGACCTTGCAGAAGCTTTGCACTACATATGTTTTAAAAATCGAAATTCCAGGAAGGAGGAAGAAATGCTAGCTTAACTACTGACTGTGGATGCCTCATGTTTCCCCCATGTTGCTTTTTCACTGCCTGTTTTTCAAGCAGCAGCAGATTGCTAATGCTCCCCATCAGCAAGCCACTGCAGACTGACTTTCAAATTTGGCAGCTGCCAACTTTTGCACTGCAACCACTTCATCCTGCTTTCTGCTTACGGCTATTTTTGATTTGCTTCTTTCAAATCCAAGTATCCACCTGCACAGGCAGCTGAATTATGGGGTTCTCTTCAAAAGCTCAGCTTTTAAACATGTGAGACAACTGGCAGTGACACTGTACGTAAAGCAGTATGTACAGGTTATTAAGGAACACAGGAGTCACTCTACATTAAAATAGAAGCACGCTTTGGGAAGCATGGGTGATTTGAGAGGAATCTCACATTTCAGTTGTTTCTTTCAGGAACTTAACCCATCTCACCTTAGGCAACTTCAAACATCCTCACTGAGCTGAGCTCTGAGGGGCTTGCAAATGCATCAGACAAATGGAGCCCTAAAACTTCCCCTGCTGTTTCACCCTACACAGAGGGAGCTCAGATATGGCTCTGCACCAGAAATGGGTAGGGTTCATAAAGGTACAGACCAGAAAGCTGGAATAGCTGGATTTCTAGAAGACCCAACTCAAGTTGAAATAGTTGTAGTCTTGCGTGGAGCCAGGAGTTGGACTCAGAGATCCTTGTGAGTCTCTTCCAACTTGGGCCATTCCACCGACCATGGCATCAATGGCACCCTACTTATCCAACAAAACCACCTTGTCCTCTCCCACCTGAAGTCACCTTGCCTCTCAGCTGTACATGGATGGTATACAGAACCGTGCAAAAAATTTTATGTATTTTTTTTCAAACAAGATAGTTTTTGTCTGAGGTCAACAGCAAGCACTCAGCTCCTTAGATTTTGCTCATTACACATGAAGTACACAGATGCTGGTGCTCTGCCACACCTGGTGTGTGGGGTTAACTTCACAGTATTCAGCTTCCACTTAGCACATCACACACACTCACCTTGGCTTTCTGTCCTGGTCACTTTGGAACCCAATAGTTTGGGCCCCATTGGCCCATGGTCACCCAAATAATGACATCACCCGTTACAAATCTGCAGGCTTGTGCCAGGAGAAACAATAGTCTGATGGGTGCAATCACAGAGATCCTCTTCTGGCATAGCTTTGGCCTGAATACTCCCTTGCACAGCAGACACAGATAGATGAAACTTGTACCAGCAATCAACAAAAGTCTCCATGTTTCAAAAATAACTCTTCTCCTACTACAACTCCCAATGCATATACATATCTTTCCTTCCAAGCTTGCAGTCTTGACCTATGGAAGCTGCCACAGAGCTCTAAGACAATTTTAGGTATCTCTTATCAAATTCTAGGCCCAGCAACCCATGATTCATGTTTCCCCTTCAAGCTTCCCCATAAAATAGCTGGCTCATACCTCTTTAAGGACCAGCACGCACTTGCCAGGCCCGACAGACTGAGGTAGCTCTGCTATTCTGCCTTTGTTTAAATATGGACCTGAGAAGCAGCGGTGGTTGATGTAGAGCTGGGGGCAGCAGTATCTCCCATTGATGGTGCCTGCAAGAAGAAAGTAGCAATGATGTGTGTCTTGCACTTTTATGCAATAAGTCAAGGGCCTTTCTTTCTCCTAGAAGGGGAAGGATGGGAAAAGAGTGAATGATGATCTTTGAGCTCCCCTCCAACCCAAGCCATTCTACAAAAAATCTTCCCTAAGATAGAAGATAGAGAAGCCTCTGTTGCTCAAATTTGTCCAACATGGGAAGAACTACATTTTTAATAGTAACCAATATGGTTGCATGCTCTACTGAATGGAGAACTGAGAAAGGACTTCATTCATGACAGGACCTGAAGCTATTTCATAACTCATGTTACAGATGGACATGAGTGATGCCATTATGACTTGCCAGAAAGGGAACATGTTAGCTTGGCACCAGCTTAGGGACAAAATTCAGGAGAAGGGCTGTTCAGTTACCCTCCAACACAATGGGGACTGGGGTATTTTTTCCCTGAAATACGAGTCTATAGAACAATTTTTTGCATGTGGGTTAACCATTCTGTGCTCTCTTATAGCACATGGAGAGAAGCAGACACTTCCCTATGCCATCCAACTGGCTGACCACAATAGTTCAGATATTATTCCCAGAAACATCATTTCTCCCAGGGTGACTGTACTGGCACCTGGGTTGCTGCCTCAGATGCTGATGTGTGTCCTGCAGTGGGACACAAGGATGGATGCATTAAGCCATGGTATAAGTAATTTAACTGATGCCAGTTAAGAAGTCACATCCATCTCCACCACAAATTCATCCATCTTGCCCTGACATCAGCAACTGAAGTGGACAAGCTTCAGGGGAAGCCCAGCTAAATACTGCATTTTCATGCAGAGGAGAAACCCCTCTGTCAGAGTTACATCCCTTGAGGATGAGCCTCTACCTCCCCATACATATGACATGCTTTCTCCCTTTGTAGGGCTGTCCCCCTCCATACAGGCAATTAATCCTTAAGATTAGGACCTGCTAGTGCCAAGCAGCCTTACCTGTTGTGTCTGGCTGAGGAACTGGGCAGAGGTCATGAGGTATTTTCTCAACAGGCACTGAGGATGGTAACCTGTTACAGAGAAATCTGGAGTATTTAACAGTGTCAAATGGGGCTGGCAAAGTCACTAAGCTGCTGTGTATTACTTCCCCTGGAAGACCTGATGTATCACTATAAAAATATCTCCTTAAATAATAGCAACTTACTTCTTTTCTGGTTGCACAACAGCAATTCTTCTCTTCCTTCGCACTGCAAAAACGAAGGAAGAAACAGTTTTGTACTCTTTTGTCCTATAAAATACATCTATAATGCATAAAAAGCTATAAAAATTCAGTGACTATAAAATGACTCCTAACACAATGAAATGGTACTTAATTACCATTGCCATCTTTTCTTGGTATTTTTAAGTAAGTCACTACATCATTAAAACCTGCTTTAAAGATGTAATAATACATTTAATCTTTCCTCTGGAATGCTAATATTGTGTTTTATGGGATCAACATAAAAAAAATTAATAAAAACACAAATATTTTTCCATACAGAAACACATATGGATAAGATTACATTTTACAAGCATGATTACCTCCAGCATAATTTATCCCTAGCCATAAATTGCGACAAGGCTGCATAATGTTGCCATAGCAGTGTTCTCCCAAATTAGGCCCTGGCTGCTTGATTTTTAACTTAAGCATATTTAACTCTTCGAAAGAATGACACATTTTAGAATTTGCCTTTCAGATGTTAATTAATACAAACAGTGAGGCTAATTCTTCATCTGGTGGCTTGAGATCAGGGTTGAACAGTCACTGCAAGGAACAGAACAACACCAAGCCACTGAGTGCTCATGAACTACCCTCAGAAGGGAATGGAAAAAAAAGCAAGCTTAGTATGCTCTGGATGTAGGGCAAGACTTAATTGTGCCAAGAGGGATTTAAATTAGATACTAGGAAAAGCCCTGTACTGATAACAGAAGTGAAATAACAGAACTGATATCCTGGTAAGGTGCAGAAACTCAGCTGTAAGAGGCCAGCAAACATTCCTCACATTAGGTAAAGTAAATCCTGTCTAGGAGAGACATGACCTCTTTATGTTCCTTCAGGTTCTGTATTTTATGGGTGTTGTTCTCAATTTTTTTCCTGATTCAAGGTCCCACGTCCCTAATTCATTCCACTGCCTCACTGAACTCAGCTGTTCCACTCTGACAACCCCACTGCAAACCCACAAGCCACCCTGTGCAATCCCAGACCACTAATGGCCTTTCCCAGTGCAAACAATCCCATTTTTAGAGAGATTGATCACACAGGCAAGTACAAACCATGTAACAGCAGTGCTGTGGCATCTGGTCACTAATTAGATTTATTACTATTTATTACAGTATGTTCACAGCCTGGTTACTGGTCTGCTAGTTAGGTCAGTAGATTTAAGAACTGGATTATAGACATCAGAAAAACTCCCTGATAAATCTGTTGATATAATAGGATATTGTGTATGTTCTGCTTGAGGTTTCCACTTACAAACAGCTTTGTGTGGTGGAGTAAGGTTATAAGCATTCGCTTCACACCAACCAACTGGGAAAATGTCCATAGACTCCACATCAACTATGTACTCTGGAGAGGGCATCTGTAAACCTATAAACATAAATTTATAACACCATTTAGACACGCGCTCGGAGCCATTCGAGCATTCATCACGAACTGAGGGAAGCAAATGATGGAACATGTAAAAATAAATCTGCTTACTTGCATCAAAATCAGGAATCATTTCATCTTCAATTTTGCAAAGACAGGAATGATATGGCTGCTGCATTTACATTGCAACGTGATTCCAGCAAAAACCAAAAATAAGAGCACACCAAGCGTGTGCAGTGAAGCAGGCAAAAGCTTGTAATGTTAAGCACACATAACTTTCCCCAACAAGACTGCCTGATTGACCCACAGGTTCTCATGTAGAGTTGCACATGCAAAGCAGCAGCAGGACATTTGATATTTGTTCTTAATGTTAAGAGCATGCACAGTGGCTATAATATAATTGTAGGTAAGGTGATCAGCCTTTATTTCCTAATGATCCCCTGAAGCTTTTCTGTGTAGTTCTGCCCCTGAGCCACCGTTTTTAAAGGTCTAAGACACCATGAATTCTCTCCCCACAGCACATGAAACTTGAGCTGATCACCCAGTAGGGGACAGGCAATATAAAAATCCTGAGCGTATAGATGCACTACAATCTCTATCATAACACTGACTCCAAGTTCCCAAAGAAAATTTCTACCTAAAACCAAATTTCATCCAGTTTGGTTGTGATGTCTCCTTCAGGAGATACTAGCCTGATCTTGGTTTGTATGGATCTCACTCAAAGCCAACTGGAAATATTCTCAATGATTTTGAGGTGTTTTGGAAACAACTTTGGGTCCTGAGTCAAGACACTATTTAATTATTCCATTTCAAGTCCATCTGCTCTAGCACAGCTTCATCAGTAAATTCTTCCTGCTCTCCCACTTCCACACTAGGACCTACAGCTCCAGTGCCAGCATGAGACAATCTCTTAATAAAACAGACCCCAGGATCAGCAGCTTCTCCTGCAAGCATCCTCATCTTTGCATCTGTTAAAGCATCTTTGCCTTCTGCTAGAAGCAGCAACGTTTGACTGAGCTCAGCTAGATGACTACAGAGAACTTCCCACTCAACGAAAGTTCATCAACGGCCTGTAGTGTAATTGAAACTTTGTAAATGAACATTGTGATGGGAATGGCATCAAGACTGAGCTGCAGCACTTGAGTGTGTGAGGTTGTTTGGAAGACCAAAGGAAGAAGGAAAACAGTGATCATAGTGACAAAGAAATTTAAAAAAAAAAGAGAAGGAAAAAAACAAACAAACAACAGAACAGCATTAAAATAAATAAATAAAAAATAAATAAATAAAAACCCATGCTGTCTGCACAGATGCATGGATATCTTCTAGGGAGAAGTTCAGGTTGTATATAAGGAAAAATTTCTTCTTAGAGTAGTGAAGTGTTGGAACAGGCTGCCTAGGAAGGTTGTAGAGCCACTGTCCCAGGAGATCTTCAAGAAAAGAGCAGATGTGGCATTGAGAGACATGGTTAGTGGGCATGGTGGGGATGAGTTGATGGTTGGACTAGATGGCCTTAGCTGTCTTATCCAACTGTAATAATTCTATGACTTTCATGGTATTCCTCTGAGTATTTATACTTAGTTACTTCCATGAGCTACTAAGCTGCAGCGTGAGGTCTCAGCATCTGGTACTCCCTGGACGACCACTTACCTCCATCAGGAAATAACAAATGATCACTGCTTAGTTTGAATCTGACAAAATGAGTAAGCAACAGATTGAGCCCTAAATACAACAAGAGATCAATGGTCCCCACTAAAATTTCACAAGATCTAGGAAAATTCAGTATTTTCATCACTGCAACTGTTCTATCACATTATTCTAATCCAATAAACAGATGAAATGTACCTTTTTGCTCACAAATAACAATACATGTGACATAAACTTTTTAACTGCTGCAGTGCCCCGATGAGCAAGAAAGCAGCATAATGTCTGTTCTCCTGCAGCACCACTACTCTTGTAAGACATGATCACAGCTATTCTGGCCTCACTCACACTGCCTCTTCCCTTTGGCAATCAGCAATCCTGTCTTTCACTTCCAACATCTTACTGCTTCATTTGGACTCATTCATGTAAATAGAAACCAGCTTGTTTGAAACTCATTAGTTTCATTTGCTGTGTTTTATGCCGCCATCTTCCCACACCAAGAGATGTCCACAAGACTGGAGAGGTTCAATGGAAAAGCAGAGAACAGAAAGACGGGAAATAGAGTGAGAATTTCCATCTTCTACTACAGATCTTATTGGATGGAGCAGCAACTCTGGAAAATTCAGAGGGAAAACTACAGAAAACCTCTCTGGAGAAGTGGTTAACAAAAGAATTTTCCTTAAATTCCTGCTCTGTGCAGAGAATGTACATTATTACTTGTATAAATTCACACCAGCAAGTTTCAGCTTTAAAATCTAAAATGAACCCGTAAAAATTAACAATGCAGATGATGAGTAATAAAGTAGCAGAAAGTGATGGGATGTGCACAGCCCTGCACTTCTTGTCTGCAGGGGAACTATACTGCTGCTCATTAAATGATTGCCCTGAAGTTTACAGTTTTGCTACTGTACAAAGCATGATTTATTAAGCAATGTTCCCTCACGTCTAACTCGACACTGCTTAAATACTACGTCCTGTTTTATGGCTGCAATTTGGGCTGTCAAATAGTGAAACTCTGAGGGCAACAATGAAAGCTTCAGATGTGCCCATGAAAAACGGTGGGACCCGGGGTCTCCAGTGATGGGCTCCCATGGCAGCTGGGACTCTTGCTGCTACCAGAATATAAATAACCAGTTAGAAACAATAGTGTATTAACGGAGCTGAAAAAAGGATGCCATCGTCCAAGCCACATTTACTTTACAACTCTGCAAGCAGCGTTTTGTGGGGTTTTTAATGCCTGGTTTTAGGCTAACGCTGTGCATACTGTAGACAGGAATTTCAACAGCAGCAAAGCCTTCTTTTTATTTTTGCAGCCCTCTGCATCTTTTCCTTTTACTACAGATCATTCTACTCCTGGCACTGAGACATAAAAGAAGTGTAAAACATCTATCTGTAAGAACATCCGTAAGGCAAGGAGATGCACACAGGTTTTTTTATTACGAGCTGTGAAAGAAACATCCTTTAAGAAATTAAAGGAGTAAAAGACAGAGAGAAGGAGACAAGGGAAGGGAGCAGTGTGAAACATGTGGCTTTCTCTTTGGTCTTGGGGGACAGCTTGATTTGAAGATCTAAGAAACAGCATTCCTTGTTTACTACACTGGGCAAGTTTGGTGAATGCTGAGTCCATCTGAAAGCATTAGAGCTTGAAAAAAAAATACAAGGGATTCCCAAACCCCCAAAATGAAGGCACCTCTCCATTTTGTCCTGTCCTTGGAGGCATTCAAGGCCAAGTTGGATGGGGACCTGGGCAGTATGATCTGGTGGGTGGCAGCTGTGAGGTGGGAACTGGATGATCTTCAAGGTCCTTTTCAGTCTGAAGCATTCTATGATTCTATGATTTAAGAACGGGTGTTGTGACTGGATGGGTGTAAATTCCACATCAGTGTTAGTGAGACATGAATTGCAAACATGCATTAATTCCAGATCTTTAACTAAAATATTTGCCACGTGCCCAGACCAGGCTACAGATAAGCTTTAGCCTCCTTGTGTCTGAAGGCAATCGGTTATCACAGAAACATAGAATCATGGAATGGTTTGGGTTAGAAGGGACCTTAAAGATCATCCAGTTCCCACTCCCTGCCACACACAGGGCTGAGGGCTGACACTGAGATCAGGCTGCTCAGGGCCCCATCCAATCTGGCCTTGAACATCTCCAGGGATGGGAGATCCACAACTGCTTTGGGCAACTGGTTCCAATTAGTACAGATTAAAAAAACTAAACCAAAACAAAAAAAAAATAAACCCACAACTGCCACTGCAAAAAGCTCTATCAAAAGCAAAGATGTGAAGTTATACCTGCACTGTACACTGGAGATAAATGCAGAGGAGACAAAGCTACATGCTGGAAATACAAAAGGAAGAAGATCTCTCCAGATTTTAGACTTCCCAAACTATGGGGCTTAGGAAAGACATGAGAAGCACAAGCAATTTTGCCTGCCAAGCTTTATATCAGGAGGAATCTCTCTTCGGGTAGTAATTGAGGTATAAATCTCTGAGAAAGGGATTTATCGCAGAGGTGCTGGGAGAGCCTTGTCTACCATATAATGCTACTTCTGCAGAGCTAAAGGCCACAGAACATCTGCCTTTGTTATATTTTAGAGCAAGCTCCTAGCATAGATGAGGCACTTCGAGTTACATGTCATTGTTATTACCAACTTTACAGGCTTTGATCACAGACCTTTCCTCTCATACAAACTGCACTGCACATTGTCAGACACTAAAATACTTCTGGGTAATTACAATGAACATACTGAAGGAATAAGTAACTCTCTGTATCAGGAAAAGATTAAGCTGTTCTGGTCGGTCTGGCTTCCAGTATCTTCCCAGCCCCAAAACACTGAAAGTTCAGCATCCTGAATAGGAAAGGAGGTGATCTTTTTGTGCAGAACAGGCACAAGACTTCATCTCCAGTGGGATCTCTGCAAGAACCCCTTGTCTCAGACCCTGCAGAACTCTCCTTTCTTGCTATCATGTGCTTGACTAGGATTTGTAACTCCATTAACATCTTCCTGGCTGTTTTGCCCTAGAAAAGCCAAAATAAACTTGCATTAAGGGTTACAGCAAGATTTTCCCTTTTGGCTGGCAGCATAAGGAATGGCACATCTTCCTTATGCATTCATTCAGAAGCACAGATCTTAGAGCCTGGTGATGAGCTATAGGCCATGTGAATTGCCTTTGGTATTTTCATGGTTCTCCAAAAGAAATAAAAGAAACATATGGCATTTGTAGCCGATGGTGACCCAATAACCATTGATTTCATACGGAAAATGAAGCTCTTATATTGACTGCAGTTGAAGCCAGCAGCTTCTAACAACAGTGTGTTAGCTTGATGGGTAAAAATTAAAATATGTTGTGACAAGGATACAGCAGCTTTATGGCTTATCACAGCACTCATCTGAACACCTAAATTACTATGGCTTTCTAGTCTTTAGAAATAACACTGTTCTTAAAACAATACTAAGAAAGATCACTGTGTGCTTTCTAAACTCTATAATACAGAGTTACTCTCTGCAGGCTCAGAAGAGAGAAGGTAAAAGGCTGTGAGCAGGAGATGGCTGTGGTAAGGAGCAGCACATGTTTCTGAGGTTTTAGGGATCCAGGTGACAAAAATGAGTGAAAGGAGCAGAAAGGAAGGAGGCTGCAAGTGAACAGAAAATCTCTTAATGGTCAGATATTTTGGTGATCCTGTGTGAAGCTGAGAGTTGGACTGAATGAATTTTACAGGTCAATTCCAACTTGGGATATTCTATGATTCTATGATCCCACAAGAGTTTACTGGAAATGTGAGTGGAAGTCTCAGTCATATAAACAAAGCAGGACAGAGATCCATCATTACAGAAATCCCTGATAACATCCATGTTGGTTGGGAGGGTGGAAGCTCTCTTCTGGAGGGATCAGGGGATGTCAATTCTCAAAACCAATTGTTAGTCAATATGTGTAAACGGGTAAGGCCAGAGTAAGCAACACTGGACAGAGTATGAAGGACAGAGTTGAGAGGGTTTGAATGAGCTACACAAAACACAAGAAGCATTTGCAGCACATACCTTCGAGGTGAAGCCACATTAACCGTCCTTTAACTGAAGTGATAGAAGCAACACATATCTCTGCAGGGTTCTTAGGGTTCACTGCCTCCAGCTTCATGTTCTTTGTAAAACCACGACTGAAGGATGTCTGAAAGAGCCAAGGACTAACAATGAAACATAGCTTTACACAGACTGTCTGCTGGGAAGAACAACTTCAACATGCTTTGCTTTTCACTCTAAGTAAAGAACCCAACAGCATCCAGGTTCAAAATGGAGATGCCCTGATCACACACATGGAAAGTCAGGGATGATGACAAATCAGGAAGCAATGCAGGAGGTTGGGGGGTACAGATGGTGCCAGTCATGCTTACTGCCACAGCAGTAAATCTGTATGCTTAAATATACAGCACCAAAGAAAGTCTTCCACAAGTTATCTGAAGTCCCCACTGTCCTCCCCCTCTTCCTCAATGAAGGCAAAATCAGGTTAGAAGTTGCTGCAATGGTTCCCAAATGAGTAGTCATCTCTCCAAATATGAAACAAAACAATAAAAAGGTGAAGTCATGAGCTTGCAAGAATGCAACAGCCCCCACTGAATGAAGACTTCAGCAGCCAGAGAATCTGCAGTTCCAACCATATAGCTACCACTGCTGTAAGAAAAAATGCCCTGGAAACCTCCTTCAGTCTGAGGTTCCCCAAGCTCTCATTAATTTCTATCCTTACCCTCTATCCCTTCCAGTGCCCTTTCACTCCTCTCTTAAGCTCAAGCAATGCTTGGACTGTCCCAGTCCTCACTCTGCAGTAAAAACTGCAACTGGCCAGCACTACAGAAAAGCAGGGTGAGTTTGTTTAAATGCCTGCTACAGTGCCTAACAAAGAAACATCATTTATCATCGCACAGGCTCCTTTCAGTGCAGTTCATTGCTGGAGGCTAATTTATACAGAATCAATGACAAAACAGTTAGCTGGGAGTTTATTTTACTAAGCATTTGTTCGTGTCAATCCATTTCATAACTGACTCTCCTTGTTAAACATCCCCCCTAGGGAAATAGCTACGGCATATCCACTTCCAGCACCATGTCTGGCTGCAGTAGGTGGAAAATGTGCCTGCAAAGAGGTTTCTGTTGAAGAGCTGCTCATAGGCATGAAATAAATGGACCAACCTGCACTTACTGGACAACAGTAAGATTACAGCTCTCTGTAGAGAACTGTGTTATCAACATCGAAAGAATAACAGACACATGTTCATCTGATTAACATTTCTTTAAAACAAGCAGCACTTAGACCTGATTTAATCTTTGGAGAATATTACACAGAGCCTATTTTCAAGGCTGCCAGTGCTGAGATCCAATACTTGACAAAGAGAAGGAAATAAAGAGTGCTTGCACAAGGGAAGAAATGCAGCAGTTGTTCCATTGCATAGGTACAGCACTGCTTAATTTCTTTCTGCACTTTCAGCAATCTCAGCTTGAACTCCAGAGGGTTTTGCATAGAAAGGCACAATAAATAGGATAAAGAAATCTGAACTTTGATTTGGGCAAAACTCTGTTGATGGTACCAGTCTTCTGAATTCATTTGCACAATCTTGCACAATCTTGCACAACTGAACACTTATAGTGTTCAAATCCACCAACACAGCATCAATTGTTTTATTCCAGACCAGGCTGCCCTTGGGCTGCCACGGATGAAGAAAACCACTTGACACCTCCAAGAAACCATGCCATAACTCAGTTGGAATCTTGTTGGACTGTCTTCATTCTGCTTTTTGTAAATACACTCTCATTCAGTCTCACGACTGCTGAGTAGTAATAAAGGGGTATGCAGCTCCCCAAAGAACCTGCTCCCACAATTCATAACACTGCTTTATTCTGCAAATCCTCCTGGGCTCACTTTAGATGCCACTGAATTTTCAATGTTTTAGTTGTTGATGAGATCTCAATTTGGATATTAGAAATAACTTCTCCGAAACAGTGGTTGGGCACAGGAATGAGCTGGCAGGGAGGTGGGGGAATCACTGTCCCTGGAAGTGTTCAAGGAATGTGGTGATGTGGCACTTAGGGACATGGTTTAGTGGGCAACATTGGTGGTAGGTGGACAGATCTTAGAGGTCTTTTCCAACCTTTATGGTTGAAAATGATGATTCCATCTCGATTTGCCTCAGCTGACAGGAGCATGAAAACAAGCACAAGGTTATTGGCAAGGTAGAACATCACGGGATTTTTTTTTTTACCCAGTTTATGGGATTTTTTTAATAGCATTACAATTATTTTTAATGGTCAGGGCAGATCCCTCCTGTTTTAAGTGCCGTACAAAACTATAGAGAGAGAGAGAGATGAAGAGCAAGAAATCCAACTGATTTCAGTAAGGAAAAGAGTAAGATAATATTTTCTCTATTTCAGAAACAGAAATCTGAAACACCTTTCTGGCTTCCTTCCTAAAACAAACTCTTGCTGGTCTGGGGAAAGCTCCCAAAGGCTTGCAGCTTTTCTGTGAAAGCAATCAGGTCTGACAGGAGTAATGCAAAGGCAAAAAGAGAGCTTACGTTTCTAAAGCACAGGTGAGGTGCTGCCTCCGCTCCACACTGCTTCTGGTAATCTGCCCAGTCAAAGTCCTGGCCAGAGTAACCTGCAGGACAACAAAACAAAGTGTCATCAGCCATCGTCACAGGGAGAGTGCAAATGGGCCCCAAGCAGACAACCACTGATGTCTCGGCATCCCATCCCATATGAGTTCTATGCGCAGTGCCAGCAATGCAAGGTCACCATTGCTGGCACTTCTCCAGCACTCACTCACACAACTTCTGCATTTCCCTTTGAAATCTCTAGATCTTCACTATAAAGTAATAAAACACAGGTATTTTCCTCATTTTCCCTTTCCAGTGAGCATCTCTCAGGCTTCAACAAACCTTTAATTACCAAGAAGCGCCACTGTCCCCATTTTCTGGGTGGGTTCATGAACCTCTTTCTCCATTCTTTAAGTACCTAAAAATTGGGACTTCAGGTCAACAGGAAGAGAATCGGCACAACCAGAAGCTGATCCATCCCTTCTCTTGTACCATGAGATAAATTCCTCTCTCTTTTCACAGCTACAGCTGTACTCTGCATGAACGACTTTCCAATGGCTCAAAGAACATAAGCTGAATCCCACTCTAGTAAGTATGTCACATGAGGTCATATAGAAACCTGGAGCAGAACAGGAAAATGATCACAGAATTCCCAGTTCCTAAAGGGTTCAGAACAGATGTGGTAATTAGGAACATGGTTGAGTGGGCAATATTGGTGGTAGCTGGACAGTTGGACAAGAAGACCTTAGAGGCCTTTTTCCAACCTTAATGACTCTATGATTCAATCAGATAATCCTTTCAGCATCTTGTTCTAAGGAAAAATGGAAGAAGCAGTAGGGGGGGCACTATCACAGAAATCCAAATCCCTACTCCTCTATATTTCTTACCTAGCAATAAACTCTTGGGGCAGAGGGTTTTATGTGGATGGTTGGTTTCATTGCTTGACTGATTTTAATCTGGTATTTAGGATTTCCCAGTGCTTCATACCAAGGAGGAGTGCTATTCCCTATCCAGAGCCCTGGGATGATGCTGTAATAACATTATTGCAGAACTACTCTCACTGGAAAGTTTCAGGAGTCATCTAAAGGACAAATTCTCCCCTTAATCTCCCTGCCTGATATCTCAGACTGGACTCAATCTTACAGAACATCCCTTAATGTCTTTTTCATTGGCAGTCAAAAAGGGACAGTCAAGATCAGATGGGAATTAATCATTTGTGACAGTGAAAACTGTGAGTTTTTTTGTAGGCAAGAAAGGACCGGAGCACGGAGTGGAATCACTATCCATCATCCAGATCCAAAAAAGAGAGCAAACATTCTGAACATGAAGTCCTGAGCATCCTGCTAAGATGCAAGTATCTGGGATAAAATGAGCTTCTACTCTTAACAGCTGCATACCTGGCACACAAATGAGCAAGATAGAGAGGGTCCTAAAATGTCTCTGCGGGGCACAAACACGCAGTAACAAAACATAATACTGTTTGCAAAGCTAGAAATAAACATGCACAGAGAAGTGACGAAGGGCCATAGCTGAGAGAATCTTCATTTTTCACATGAAAAATACCTAGCATCTTTTTACATAAATTAACAACTGATTTTTTCAACAGTACTGTCTTCTTGTTTCTTCTCTACTTTTTTTTCTCTCTTGTTATTTCCTTGCCAGATACTTTCAGGCTTCAGAAAATGAAATGGAAAACAGGAGGCGAAGTGCACACTGCATCAGAAAGGGATCCATCTGATCGCACACAGGTGTTGGTAGCAGATGCCTTGAGCTGGCTTCCCTGAAGCATCAAAGGAGAAAGAGAAAGATCTACAGGTGATCTGCATGCCCTCCTTCAGAAGGAGCAAAATCCTTCTACAAGTCTCACTTGCTCTCCGTTGACTCTAGAAGCAGCTATGGTAATGGACTCACGTGGAGGCAGCCACAATGCTGACGTCTGCATTAAACAAACCAGGGCACGTCCCAGCTGCCAGAGTACACTGCTCACAGGGACCCTAAACCCTGCCCACACTTTGCATGGTCTCAGGTCTCTGATGTAAACCCCTTGTGGACAGCTCCTCAATCTTAATTGAGAGCTATGCAAAATCTTGGCAGAGTGGATGGAAAAGGCACGTTTCAATGAGGTATGAAAATCTAACTCACGTGTCACCATAAAACCAGTTGCTAGCTTGGCCCTGCACTATTTGAGGTGCGAGGTTCTTTGTAGACTTCAGTGGGAACAAAGCCTGGGAAGATAGCAGTGCAGTTTACCAGAACTTCAGCAGCCCAACAAGTGTTGCTCAAAGGCCATACTCAAGAACTGCCATCAAACAAGCGTGGCCCTGTGTGTACCTCATCATGGAGCCTCATGATGAGAGATGTGCTCTCATTAGCACATGATATTCACATGTTGTTATCCTCTAAAGCTCAACCCTAGTAATAATGGTCAAAGCCTGCACAAATCTGCATGATCGTTTACATGGGTTGATAGTGATAGACAAGGTGGAATGGTTTTAAACTAAGACAGAGGAGATTTAGATTAGATATTAGGAGGAAACTTTTCACACAGACGGTGGTGACACACTGGAACAGGTTGCCCAAGGAGGCTGTGGATGCCCCATCCCTGCAGGCATTCAAGGCCGGGCTGGATGTGGCTCTGGGCAGCCTGGTCTGGTGGTTGGTGACCCTGCACATAGCAAGGGAGTAGAAACTAGATGATCATTGTGGTCCTTTTCAACCCAGGCCACTCAATGATGGTTCTATGAGTTACCTACTGCTCCCCAAATACAAAGAACTTCACTGTGTCTGCTGTCTTGACTCTCAGCATTGAAGAGCTGTTTAAACCAATGGTGTAATCAGAGTCAAATATAACAGTACAAATGTACTGGAGGTTTTAGAAATGACATTTCCTTAGTAAGCCTTGTATGTAAGAGTGCTACTGTGGTATTTTTCCCCTCTCTTAACAGTTCATGAAAAGGAACAACTACTACTCTAAAGAGAAGTGGTCTATAAACCCAAACCCAATAAATATAAACAGTGCTTGTTCAATGTTTATACAGCAGCAGTAAATGGGTATTCATTTTTGGCACCATGCAGGAAAAATTGCTCTCTGTTTCTAGTAGCAAATGTTTGCACCTCCTGTTCATGACTCATCTACTGCATGTTTGGTTTCAACAAAGGCTTGACGGGCAAAAAGGCAAAAGAACAGATCTTAAAGGACTTTGAACCCAAATATCCCAATACTATTCTGATGAAATAAAATCAATTAATTGTAAAATCAGACAACTCCCTTTCAATCATTATTTAACCCCTCCCAAAAATACTAGAATACAGCAAAGACTATCCACAAAGACAAAAAGAACTTACGTGATTTTCCCATGTTATCTGATTCTCCATGGGAATTTCTTGCCTTTCAAAAGGGAAAGCTATGTTTGCAGCACTAAATACTGTCAATATAGTCATGGAGGAGAATGGCCAATTCTGTACATTTAAAAGAAAGGAGCAAATCTGGACACCTCAGAGCAGTTATGACTGGAAGTGGGGGAATGCCCTCTTCCTTCCTGGGCCCACTCGTAGACATGTTGCAGCCCTCTCCTGTCAGTCCTGACTGCTTCTTTATTGCAAGCTGATGTTACTCTTTTCAGAGAAGACCTCAGTGTGGTTCTGGATGCATTTCTTTTTCTATCTGCATTTTTTAGTGTGCTTTTTAGCTTGCTGGTTGTTTTTTTCAGACAGCATTCCAATGTTTAACTACACTTTCATGACTCAAAGTGCATGTTTGCTGCTGGAGGAGATTTTTGACCCAAAAAATCCTAAGATGCAGTTTAGGCATGCAACCTTCATATATTCTAGAAGAAGCACAATATATTTTGTGCCTCTATCTGCTACTTGATTTAAACCTCTTTTAATAGCTTCTCTCCATGATTTCTGATCTGACAGCAGAAAGCAAAGACTTCCTGCCCCTTTTGAGGAGCCAAGGTGGACCCCAGGCACTGGACATCACACCAGATACCAGATAGCTGCTTAGCCTTTCCAGGACAAGTTGAAAATATCTGTAATGACAGGTGGAAGGATGCTATAGATACTTCTAATTATGCAGGTATTTAAAGAGAGCTTGCATGTGCTTGGCCCATAAAACAGGTTTTGTACCAGCATGGAGTGGAAACTATTAAGACATGGCCCTTTATATAGAAACGTCTGGTCTATGGTCTATTTGAGTTAATAAGGTGGCCTGGGGGAAGCTGCATGGGAACTCATGGTGGAAAAAACAAAATGCTGACCACTGATCACTTACACAGTCACAATCTTAACTCTTGGATTTCAGCAAGAGGAAGATAAACAACCACAGAGTACATTTCTTTCAGTAAAAGCAACAGATTAATCACAGAAGCACTATATGCAGCTGCACGCACAGGGCTCCCAGACTTTGGTGGGAATTTCAAACTGCACATGCTGGATATATACATACATATATATATATATCTTATATAAATGTAAGAGGCCTTTAAATCTGGCAGGGAATAGCCCTTCACTTCCTTGGGACCAGCAGCAGCATATTTCTTTCCAAAATGAAGACAAATATGCATGTACACGACTTCACAGCATATTTTTGTGAAGCATTTCTTCTCTCAAGCAATGTCATTTTTTGGCAGAAGTTCGACACCCTGACCAGAATAAAAAAAATTAACATTCCAGAAAGCCGACACATTTTGCAAGTGAAGAAATATTGCTAACACACTGCAGGTGGTTGCCTGAAATTGCAGTTAATTAACTGCACTGCTACGGAGATGGGAAATAGCACGGTCGGACGCTGTTCCTCCTGGCTCTGACCTGAGGACTGCTCTCAATTTGCCCTCATCTGGGATTTTTTCGAGACAGGTAAGTAAAAATGCCTATGTGCTTCTGGGCAGGCAGCTGTGAGCTAACTGGTGAGGTACAATCTGAATCCAGCAGACATTTAGATTTCTGTGTTCTCTGCAGCTCAGGGCTGTACCAATGGGGATGCTACAAGCGAAGCTGCCTGGTTTGTCTCAAACATAATATGGCTCTTAAAGCTCCTTTAGCAGTCTGCACACACAAAACATCACCAAGATGTGTTTTACAGGAATTTCCTATGCTTCAGTGCAGTTTGCTTCAGACAGACATTAATCCATCAACAATACATTTGCAGAGATGTTCACAGGCTGTTATGAGCCTCAGTGGCTCAACAAAGATGCTCTGGCTGGAGATGCTCAGCGTGATGCTCTGCAGCAAAGAGCAGAATGGTTTTAAAGGCAGTAGAAAAGCTGCAAACCATTGAGAAGTAATACAAACCCTTGGGCGGTGTGAGATTGACTCCATTTTTAAGGCACCACTGTATTGGCAAGATCCCTAAGGAATCCGCATGGCAAAGCATTGAGATTTTGCTGGGTTCAGGTCTCAAGTCATCAATGGTCACTTGCAAATAATGATTGTTAAAAACCTAAGAGATGAAAAAGAAGAAAAAAATCTGATTTTAAATTTGCTGTAGCACCTGCAAACATATAAAGCTGAAACAAACTGGAATCAAAGTGCACCTGAAACAACCCACTCTCACCTAACGCTTTACACCTGTGTTTCTACCAAAGCTATCAAGGCATAGATGGGTAAACTGAGGCAAGAGAAAGCACCACAGCTTTCTCTTATAGACCCTATATCCTTCCCTTCTCTTGCTTTTGAGGGGGTGGATAAGATACACAAATATGCCCTCCAACCAATTGTTTTATTTCAGATAGAATCACAGATGTGCAAGAAAAATATGTAGGCATGGAAAGAAGACAGGGATAAAAGGGATTCCCCTTTATCTGCATAAAACTGGCAGATGAAACTCGTAGGATAAGTGTATGTGTTACCCAGTGATAAGTGCACATACAGTCAACTAGTGATGCTCGTACAACAGAAACAACTGATGAAGAAGGCAATATTCATGGATATTTTCCTAAACATGGTGGAAATCAGTCAAGAAGTTTTTAAACATCTTTTCAGCCCTCATTCTTTTTTGGGACCCTACCTTAGTCACTGATGCAGGACAGATATGAAACGGCTCCCTCATATTCACCGCCTCCAGCTTCATCCCCACAGTGAAAAAGTGGTTTCTCAAATCAGCATGGTCCTGGAGGAAAGAATAGGGAAGAGAGATAGGTGGTGTGTCAGCACCAGCCACGAAGGAAGGCTCAACACATTGGAAAATCTATTTGAAAGGTGTTCAGGTGGATCTGTCACTCAGGTGATTAGCAGATTGTCCACTGTCTCCAACTGCAAGCTCCAGTACCTCCTATGGGTGGAAGCAGACCTAACTGCCCCTGATTTGTTCTGATGGATTTTGGGTTCCTGTATACTTGGGCTGGCTTTTGTGTACCATAAGATGGAAAGGTCTTCTGTCCAACTGGGAGAATAAAGGTGGTATAAGGCCCAGGACAATGAACTTGAACCCAAAAGGTGAACAATGAGAGAACCTGTCAGTGAAAAAATACACAGCTGTATTCAGGTACATGCCTGTCACAACACCTTCATCCAGGATCAAACTTGTCTACACACAATAACCTTGGGGTATCTGGAGGATGCAGCACCTAACCTCAGAAACAACACAGGTTCAACTCCCTCACTTGCCACAAATGTGTTACATCTATCAAATGACTCCATCCTCATGTCCTTGTCTAAAACTAGCATACAGGCTAGCAACCTAATTGCAAAGTAATGATTACATTTTACACTGAACCAATGTAAAACAACGTTTACATCATTTAGACCAATGTTGTTTAAATGACCCGTGCATTAGCCAACACAACCAAAAAAGAAGAGCTGTTATATTTAAAACACACACACACTGAACTCCAAAATATATGCAGAAAGCTTAGTATCTAATAAGAGGCTAGCAATGTCATTCCCATCTACATTCATTGCTACATGTTGTATTCTTGTTCTAAAATGATTTTCTATTGATCTGAAGTTGTATGTCATTACACTTTCTTTCCTAAGAACTGTTCTCACTTGTAGACTTAATGACTTCTATTTTGGGATCTTACGTTCCTGGTGCCATCAGAGATAAGGATTTTTACTAGCTCCAATCAAAGCTAAAGGAATAGTTGTTTTCACCTTACCTTATCTTCGTGACATTACTGTGTCTTTTATGTGAGAACCAAAAAGTAGTCAAAAAACGTTCCATAATGTATTCAGTTTCGCAGCACGGGAAGTATATTCCAATGGGGAAACTAAGGAAGACTTAGCAATAATGGGCCAAAACACCACGATGAACTAATGGGTGAGGAAGGAGCAGACATTCAGGAGTTTGGGTGTCCTGCAGTGTAGCATCAGCTGTACTTCCGATTGCTGGCAATTACTTCCACGTTACCAAAGTCCCAGCAAGCCAGGAGACTGATTTCTGGCAGTTTCACAATGTTTTGTTGAATAAGAGGTTGATTCAGGGATGAGAATTTGGCTCCTTGTACAGTGAAGCTGCTCAGTGTAAGCACTGCATTAAGGAAAGGTTATCAAAATTGCCATTGTTACCACTAGGAAAAGATGATGGCTGCAAAAATCAAACCTCACCAATACTGAACTTCCAACCTCCAAAGGCAGACAGCATCTAGACTGTAGGGATATCTGCTCCCTGCACAAGGATCCACACCCAGCATCTCTCAATCCTTGGGGCGAGGTTGTAAAGAAAAGGAAACTCTGCAAATCATACATGTGGAAGCAAGCTTACACTACAGCATCTTCCCATCAAAAGATCCAGGATTCAATTCACATTCGCATCCAGCTTCAATACATAATAAGCCCAGATCTACCAAAGTACTTAATCATGTTTATCCTTAAACATGCAAGTAGTTTCATCAACTTCGTATGTGATTTGTTGATTGAGATCAAAATACTTAAAACGATATTACTTCTCATTTTTATTTGAGACAGTTTCTTTGGCTGGGCTCCTTTTTAGTACGGCTTTTTTCAAAGGGAAAAAATAATCAAGTAGGAAAATCATAAAACTAATAACATTTAACGTTACTTATTTTACTTGAAAAGCCTTCTGTCTGTGTGCTATGTATCTCAGGATCAAATCTCCCTTCCTGTTCAGCATACCATGTAAACATCTTTCTCATTAAATTAATAGCAAGAGTAAACTCCCACAGAACCCATGGGATCTTCGGTACGTCTCCCTTTTGAGGGAGAAAATTCTCTTTGAGACAGGAACATACTTTTGTTTGGAGAAGGGCTGTGGAAGTAAAAAGCTCGTCTGTGTTAAATGTCATTTTTGAGATGGAAAAGCTTTCATGGAGAAAAAGCCTTGATATTGTACCGCCATGGCAAATGGTCAGGATCTGGATATTTGATCTCTTTCACACGTTTGTAAAAGAGAAGCATTAAAATTTACTTTAAGAGCCTTAGATTTTTGCAGCTGCAAAAAGAAAAAAAAAGATCCCAATGCCGTTCTCCTCAGCCAGCAGGGAATTGCTGAGGATTTGGCATATGCTCCTCTTCAAAATTCTAATTAATTTACATAATTCCTAAGAATAGGTTCTACAGAAGCGAAGGCAAAGCTTTTAATTAGTATTAGACTCAAAGTGATACACTGGATAATGAACTGCACTTGGCTCCTGTTATTCACATTGACAGGAAAGACGCCTGTTAAATAAAAGCAGCTGCAAGATGAGGACTGAAGGGGTGAAGCTTTCCCTTCACTCCCAGCACAGCAAAAACAACACCTGAAATGTTGCTGGGTGGCAGAAACCAACCCTTCCACACTGCATGCAGCGTTCAAAGCCACCTATGAGGACATCACCAAGCATTCATTTCCAGCCACTATTCCAAACGAGTCTGAATTTGCTTTCAAATGGTGTGGTAAAGTCATTTGGAGCATTTTATGGCTTTGTGTGTGGTGGATCTCTGCTCCTGCTGGCTGGCTTCTGGTAAGGCTGCACCTCGAGTACCGTGTTCAGTTTTGGGCCCCTCACTACAACAGAGATTTTGAAGCCCTGGGACGTGTACAGAGAAGGGCAACGAAGGTGTGGAGTCTGGAGCACAAATCATATGGGGAGTGATTGAGGAAACTGGGATTGTTTGGTCTGGGGAAGAAGAGGCTCAGGGGAAACCTTACTGCTCTCCACAAAAAAAATGAAAGGAGGTTGTGGAGAGGTGCTCCCAGGTAACAGCAACAAAACAAGAGGGAATGGCCTCACGTTGCACCAGGAGAGGTTCATGTTGCATATTAGGAAGAACTTATTCTCAGAAAGAGTTGTGATGCATTGGAACAGGCTGCCTGGGGAGGTCATGGAGTCACCATCCCTGGAAGTGTTCAAGAAAAGGGTAGATATGGCACTGAGAGACACAGTTAGTTGGCATGTGGGGATGGGCTGACAGCTGTACTAGATGATCTTAGTGGTCTTTTCCAACCTGAACAGTTCTACAACTCAGTGCTTCCCAGGAGCAGCTCCACTGCCACACACATTTACACCTGCAGTGAGCCTGCCTTGCAGGGCTCACAAGCTCTGTGTGGGCAATGGAAATAACCTCCCAGCCCTCCCTGCTGGAAAGCAGCCAAGAAAACTAGTCTGATGCTGAGAAATCCCTTGCAGCAAAGTGAAAATCATACTGAGGAACGTACAACGAATTAACGTGGTACAAGAACCACGCTCGACTCATTCAGAGGGTCAAAATCTCTAACATGATGGATTACAGCCCACAGGAGTGCTTACAAGTAATGAATGGAAAACTGCAGAACCCTCCACTGAATGAACGTCTGCCACTTACAGCCCAAACCCACAGGCAAAGCCAAGGCTGTCACAGCTCTCACTACAAATCCCAAGAAGCAATTAAAGTCAGCCTCACTCTTGCTATCTTAGAGGTTTTTAGACTTAAGGACGCAGCCAGGCTTTAAGAATGCACAGGTATGGGTGACATAGTTAAATCTTAAAAAAGTCACCGACTTCCTACAAGCACTGGTCTTGAACTCAGAAAGATATGCTGCAAAATCATCACAGTCATCTGCCCTTTTGCTCAAGTCTTTTTACACTCCACTGGGAAATGCAGATAGTATTGGGACCTAAGTAAACCTAAATGGCTTCTGCCCGTGGCATTTAGGGCAGCCATGCAATGGACTGGTTGCTCTAGCTGTGTCCACAAATCCAAACAAGGGCATCTCTTCCAGGTTCTGAAATGAATCACAGAATCACAGGATCATAGAATCAAATGCTCACTCTTAGCCCACTCTCCTCAACATACAAAACTGGAGTCTCATTTTAAACCCAAAAGCATGCATAGCGTATAGATAAGCAGAAAAGGCTCTAATTTGAACCCTGATTTTCAAATACCCCAAAACTCAGAGTTCTTTTGGTACAGGATAGTTCATGCACACCACTTACATGACTATGACTTTGTACAAAACTGAGAACTAAGTCTGAGAAGTTGCAAAGTTGAGAGCCTGATCATTAACAGCAATTAATAAATGATTGACCTGAGCCTCCTTTAATCCTCACCGGATGCAACTGTGTGAAATGCTACTGCCTTCACTCACATCTCTCCTGGTTTACCCTACTAAAAACAGAGAAGAAGTAGGTTCCATCAGGTATGACTGGAAACAAATTATTTAATCCAGTTTTGTTTTAAAAGAAATTGCTTCCTCCAGTGTTTTCCCTAATTCTCCAAGACACTGGCTGCTTCTGATAGCCTAATTTTAATCACAAAGCTCTTAGGTGGTAACCAGTCACAAGCACAGTAATAGCCGTGGTTAAACTGCCTCTACAGGAATCTGGCATTTGGTTTTCAATTGAGCAAAAAGAAAAAAATAAAGAAAGAAGCCCTCCCAACTGCAATCCTCTGCATTATTTGCAGATGAATCGGTCTTGTCGTGATTCATCAACTCTCTTTGCTAAACGCTGTGCAATTTTCCCTGAAGACACGCTCTGCAGGGACACAGAAATCCTCCTGTAAGACATAACACGAGCAAATCTGCAAGCAAAATGTGAGTGTAGTAACACAAGGAGACCGAAATGTAGAGATGTGAGGTGGGATGAAGAGGAAAAGGTGCTGGGAAGGAGGCTTTGAAAGTCCTGAGACCCTGAAGCAAGGAGCGTGGCAGCCAGCTATCACAGCTGCACCTACCCAAGAGCCCCTTAAACA